CAACACGTGAGGCAGACGCTTACTTGCAGACACGAGTGCTGCGGAGGCCGGTTGGTGAAGACGAGGAAGGCAGCAACTGGGTGAGATGGAGGGCGAGTTCGGCAGAGACAGGATGTGGCATTCACCGAGACTGGCATGCATCTCTTGAGGAGATCTTTGAAAAATTTTGAAAATTTTCAAATTTTTCAAAAAGTCAAAAAATGCTGGAAAATGCCTGAGACGCTCAAAAAACCAATTTTTTTTAAAAATTTTGAAAAAAAATTTCAATGTGAAATTCTTCAAATTTTTTTGGTTTTGTGCGCGTTTTGGACAGTTCCAGCATTTTTTGATTTTCTGAAAATTTTGAAAATATTCAAAATTCCGCCAACTGATGGTTTGCGGAAGCGGTCCCTCTATTACTGTTTCTGATGAAGCGTGTCTCTGACGAATACGGTCTGTGCATGTCTCGGGCTCTGCACGGGCCGGTCTCTGTGAGACACGACTCTGACGTTCCGTCTCTTAGATGCCCAGTTGCGGAAGACAACCCGTGAGGCAGACACGGACAAGCAGAGACACGAGTGCTACGGAGGCCGGTTGGTGCATACAACGAGGAATGCAGCAACTGGGTGAGATGGAGGGCGAGTTCGGCAGAGACAGGATGTGGCATTCACCGAGACTGGCATGTATCTCTTGATGAGATCTTTGAAAAAAAAATTCAAATTTTCAAATTTTTCGAAAAATCAAAAAATGCTGGAAAATGTCCAAAAAGCCCACAAAACTATTTTTTTAAAAAAATAGTTTTGTGGGCTTTTTGGACATTTTCCATCATTTTTTGATGTTTCGAAAAATTTGAAAATTTTCAAATTTTTCGAAAAATCAAAAAATGCTGGAAAATGTCCAAAAAGCCCACAAAACTATTTTTTTAAAAAATGTTGAATAAATTTTGGAGGTGAAATTTTTCAAATTTTTTTTGGTTTTGTGCGCCTTTTGGAAAATTTCCAACTTTTTTTGATTTTTTTGAAAATTGTCAAATTTTCAAAATTCCACCACCTGATGCTTTGCGGAAGCGGTCCCTCTAGGACTGTTTCTGATGTGTGTCTCGGGCTAGCACGGACCGGTCTCTGTGAGACACAGCTCTGACGTGCCTTCTCAGAGAAGCCCATGTGCGGAAGGGAACACGTGAGGCAGATGCGGACTTGCAGAGACTCGAATGCTGCAGAGGCCGGTTGGTGCAGACAACGAGGAAGGCAGCAGCTGGGTGAGATGGAGGTCGAGTCCGGACAGAGACAGGATGTGGCAATCACCGAGACTGGCATGCATCTCTTAATGAGTTCTTTGAAAAAAATTTGAAAATTTTTAAATTTTTCGAAAGATCAAGAAATGCTGGATATTGTCTGAAAAGCGTACAAAATCAAAAATATTTGAAAATTTTGAAAAAAATTATGAAGTTGAAATTTTTCTAAATTTTTCGATTTTTTGAAAATTTTGAAGAAATTTCAAAATTCCACTACCTGCCTTTCAGAACATGTCTCTCTCGCACTGTTTCTGATGTACTGTGTCTCTGACGAATGCGGTCTGTCCCATCGCGTCAGATATCATCCCAATTAACAGTTTCCTCAGCGATGGATTGGACTCAGTGGCCCAGTAGCATAGTCATGGAGGTCGCCGGAACCTGACTCCATTGGCCTTTTATCTGTGTTGTCACTCGAAGTCCATTGTTTATGCAACACCCATAAACAATGAAGCTGACCTATGGGAGTGTGTGCAGAGTGCATGCCAGATGATTTGAGGAAACCCTGGTGTGTATGAATGAATTCGTCAGTCTTGTGTACGTTGTGCTTGTGAATGTGTCGAGAATGGAGGAGCAACCTTTGAGCATCTGTTATAAAGAAACATCTCTGTCCTTATACTTGGCAATAAAGGCATACATTGAAAATAATTTTGGGCTATTATTTTTAGAAAGAAGCATTTGCACCCACAAGTTAATAGGAACATTTTTTCTTATTTTTGAAACAGGAACACGCACACAAAGTTTGTAAACATACTTTTGATTCACCCTGTATAGATCAGCACTTATTGGTTGTGCCATGTGAACGACGTCGATCCAACTCTTGTGTAAGGACACGAGACATCTCAGGCTGGGAACGCCGTCTATAATCCTGCTGTGCGAAGTCTAGAGGTGTAAGACTCATCTTTGTGCGTGCTGTAAGGTCACATGTCTCTGCCTGCAGCAACATCTGCAACAACAGACATGATGCCAATTTCAGTAGTTCAGAAATATCACTTTTTTTGCAATGGCTCACTTCTGAGTTGTTGTGCCCTGTAATCTGGTAGATGTTTACCAACGTTTCAGAGGTCATACTGCCTCCATCATCAGGGCGATGACCTCCGAAACGTTGGTAAACATCGACCAGACTACACAGCGCAACAACCCAGAAGACAGAAATCTTCATACTCTGATGACGGAGGCAGTATGGCCTCTGAAACGTTGGTTAACATCGACCAGACTTCACAGCGCAACAACCCAGAAGACAGAAATCTTCGTACTCACCGCTGTGAAAACCTCAAATTTTACACAGTCTGGGAGATGGTTACTGACATTTCAAAGGTGCTCGCTGCCCCCATCATCAAGGCAATGAGTCTCATTGCCCTTAAATGTCAGTAAACTGCTACCAGATTACTTGAGTGTAACAACCCAGAAGACAGCCATTTTCATACTCACCACTGTGAGAACATGAAACCTAACTTTCCAAATTCTTGCTTCCATTGAACTGATGAAGACAAGGGTGTGAATGGGTTCCTCACAAAAATACCAAACATATTTAAACACTTTCAACATGTCTTAACCTATTTCAGCATTCAGTAACTCTGTATTTTACAACCAGAATGTATTTATGAGTTTTATACGATTCCAAAAATAAACAGGATTTAATTCTCTAACAGCATTATTCAAATTATCATTGTAATGGTGATACATTCTGTTTTATTTAAGGTAGAAACTATATTTTTTAATATTATTTAAATGACTTCATGCTTCAATGAGTTAAGTAGGGCTATCATAACTGATCAATGATTAATACATGTCATCAATTATACAGTTTTCGTGATGACTGTCTCATCATCATAGTAGTGACATGCAGCTTGTGCAACACCCTAGAATCCGAACTGTTTGGACTAGTAACCTCTAGTATCCTAAATGCATACCACATAACATATTACCTTTGTTTTATCGTTTTCACAATGGTAAAGATGTGAGCTGTGGTCTTCTGGGTTGTGATCACCAGCATTTCAGAGGTACGCTGATAAGCACCTATACGAGTACACATGCAGAACACCTGACCCTTCATAAAAGCCAAAGGAATTAGGCTGCATTTATTATTTCAAATCCTGACATATCTTAGTCAAGCTAACTTCCAGAAGTTTTCTTTGGTTTTCCAAAGGCTTAGGTCAACTTTCCTTGAGAAGCAATACAAACTCCCTCCTGTTGTACCCATCTTAACTACATTTTTAAAAATTCAAAATTTCCTTCTTGCTTGCTGATTTTACAGGTTTGCTTTAACATCATATCTAACATTTTATCTCCTACAAACAATTTAATAAATTCAATGCACAAATGACGTCACTGGGCAAGTGAGGTGCTGAAGAGAGATACAAAGTTTAGAGTCGATAAATTCAGGGAATTCTTCCTAACATTAAAATAAGAATGTTTTGTCTTCCCATACCTAACTAACTAGATGGCTTACCGAACCCGAAGGTTCATCACCGAATTAACCAAAGCCCTCCACCGGACCCTGTCCTGGGCCAACAAAATCCAGTCTCCTTCAACTCCTATCTCCCATAGATCCCACCTGAATTTATCTCCCATCTACGTCTAGGTCTCCCCAGCGGTCTCTTCCCCTCAGGCTTCCCAACCAATACCCAGTGCACACCCATTGCTTGGAAAAAATTATGGGGAAGGCAAAAGTTTGTGGATTGTGTATGCAAAGAAAAATACAGGCACCTTCAGGACGTGGCAAACATCCTACAAGTGCAAGCAATGTTACCTTCCACTCTGTCGCATAGGACGCTTCCTCGATTATCATAAGATGTATCGAGGTTCAAAATCGATGCACAATGTGGGGGTAAGTACCAAAACCTGAACCACAGTCTTGTAAGCAAGCTGACAAAGTTTCATACAGATATAAAAAGTAGATTAAGAGATATGTAAGATTTTCAAAATGTGTGTCAGTTTCACACAGCGATAATTTAATAGTTGAAAGGCCATTTAAAAACGCAGTCCTGCAGACTCAAGCAAGAGCATGATGAAGTAGAATGGCGGAGGGTCAATTGAGGGTGTTTTCAAAAAGGGTGCTGAAGAGAATATTTGTACCCAACAGGGATAAAGAAACAGAAGGCTAGATAAAATTATACAAAAAGGAGGTTCATAATTTGTACTCTTCATCAATTATTATTACTGCCATTATAGATTTGTCTAATTCGTTGGTTAAATATATCTTATGAGAGAAGTGTGCAGATCTCTGAACAGAAAATCTTAACGGAAGACCTAGGTGTGGATGAAGGGATAATATGAGCATTTAAATGGATCTTAGATAAGTTGGACGGAAGGGTCTAAAATGGATTCATTTGGCTTTGGTTAGCAACCAGTGGTAGGCTCCTATGATCAAGACAGTTTACATTGTGTTGGGACTTCTTCATTAGAAAGTTAACCCCTCAGAACTTACATATATTTTGAACTTAATGTATTCTTGTACAGTCCACTTCAGTCTTCACTCTCATATTGAATTCTCTGATTGCCTATTTCAGAACGTGTCAGCAGATACGAGGTTCTCAAGGAACTTAGCCCTGAAGATGGATAAGGTACGTTCCTCCGAAACGTGATGTCACTTGGCGTGACAACCCAGGAAACAACAGACGGTGTTAACTCACCTGCACAACCTGAATGAAGCCGCTCTCGACGGCGATATGTAAGGGAGTGAGTCCCTCTTTGTTGGGGGCATTCAGCTCAATGTTGGGGCGTCCGAGCAGGAGAGACACTACCTCGTGGTAACCTTTGCCCGCCGCCAGGTGCAAGGCCGTGTTCCCACGCAGATCCTGGGCATTTGGAGGGGCGGCGTTACTGAGCAGCATCGCAACGAAGGAGGGGCGATTCTTTCGGGCGGCGAGGTGCAGGGGCGTCTCGCGGTACGCCGTGCAGCGCGACAAGTCCGTACCGGCACTCGCCAGTAGCGTCACGGCGTCGAAACTGCCCGGTGCGTCGCGTTCCAGAGCCTCGTGCAGTGCTGTCTCGCCTCGATCGTTCTGCAAACTGGGGTCCGCGCCACAATCCAACAAGACCTGCCAACAAAACACAGTGTTGAGCAGAATATACGGCCTGTGATGATTTTTGTTTTTTTTTGAAGACGCTTCTTTACTGATACAACGACCTCTGGAAATTATGAAAAAGAAAGAATGTGGGGCCTATTTTAAGACAGCCTACTATTCCCGTATCTGCCTGGGCGGACTGAGGCAAACGACGCAAAATGCTGCCGGTAGAGTCGGTCTATTGTTGATATTTGAACCCGGGAAAGCCCGGGAATTGATCTAGATTACTAACCACTCAATTGCGACATTTAATTTTGGCACAGAAGACACAACGTACTGTCTCATCTTCATGGATGAAGTAACTTCAGCCCTGAAGATGGAGACAGTTCACTTCTCTGAAACGTTGACATCAACCGACCAAGTCCACACGGCGCCAGAACCCCAAACAACATAATCATTTCTTGGATTTATGAAACTGAGTAGGCCTACATATCGACTGATGAGGAAATACCGATTGCCAATTTCATCTTGGACCGGACACACGCTTAAAAGATTGTAAAAAAAAATGTTTGAATTGAAGCTCTCGTAGTTCTAATCCGCAACCGAAATTGTCAATTTTTTAAAGTTGCTAACTTATATTCGTCAAATTACGCGGAATAAAGAACATCGTCCTTGATCCTTAATTTCTAGGGTTTAACATGTGTTACTAAAAGAAATACTGGTGATGGTTGTGGTTTCAGAATACTTTTCACAAAGTCCTTCATAACAACTCTACGATCATTACGCCACTAAATGTCATGCTGTATCATCTATTGTGGGACTGAAAATGTCATCTGGGTTCACGTACTCCCATTTCTTGTTGGTAAAAACCATCAATTATTAACAGAGGCAAGTACTCATTTGTAAAGCACACAATTATGCTCTCTTAAATGAAGATGATTTAACGCTTTCAAGTCGACGCTCGTCTAAGTAATAATTGAGTCCGTACCTCAAAGAAGACACAAGCCACTATTATAAGGATAAATTCCTTAATGTTTAGCGAAATAATAGTTGTTTATTATGAGAATAATATAAAAATAAAATCCAGAATTCAGAATTACTAACTGTTAAACATGTGGGACATGCAATTATCAATATACTTTAAAGGGTCTGCATCTATCTTTACTGAATAATGCAACTCTTATTAAAATTAAAACATTTCCAACTTCGGAAGCAATATAAATTCAAATACGCTATTTAAACGTCACGTCGTATGAAATGGGAAATGATAATGAATAGATGAGGGTTTGGAAGAAAGGGGTGTTGACCTATTTGAATATATTCGTCGAAAAAATCTATCAATTTAAGCTTAGAGTGGTAGCAAGGTACCAACCTGCTCAGTAGTCTACTATGCATTGAAGTTTCTCAAAGTTATCGTGATAACTTTGGTTTTCGAGAATAAGCCGCGTAGAATGTTGAAAGTCTTCCAACGTTCCAGAAAAAATGGCAGTTGCCACATTCATTCTCCCTGAAGATTTAAACTGCAATATTTGTCGAAACGGAGGAAAATCTTTAATATTGTACGCGGAATATTCCCGAATGTCAGATTTGCATATTAAACTACGGCTGAGACCCTAAAGGACGATAATTATCGATGGATATTAAATAGCCAACAAACATAGAAGGATATTGATGTAGGCCATTATTTATTGACGCAACTTTGTTAAAAAAAAATTCACCCTCACTGGTTCAACAGATCCAGACTGAACTCGCTGTTGAATGGATACACGACCTTGGAGCAAGCAATTACCTCATTTGAACTTAAATGACACGCGATCAGAGAAGGCATTTGGCTTTGAGCCAGTCGATACACCTGAATGACGGTAAAAGGACAACACATAGCCACTCTTATCTAAGGCAGGATTCAAACTTATAATTTCAGCAGCCAAGTCCATCAGGACTACTACACAACAGTACCACGATCATCGGGCCATTTTCGTTTGCAAACCTAACCTAAAATTATAAGGTTCTGTCCTGCCCATCCATTGACACATCTCTTTCTGTCTGACTTTTGACATACAACACAACTAGTAGCGTTTTGGGTAAGTTTAGATAGAACTGCTAACGAATTGGAATCTACAGTGTTCAAAGAAGTTTTTATACAGTAGAAAACAAAATATTTACTCACATTTCCACTTATTTACGTTATTTCCTTCAGACACACACCATTCTGCAATTAATACTATGTCACCAGTAAAAAGACTGCCATCAATCCGCACTACCAACCTGGACAAAATATATTCCTGTTGCCAATCTCTGCAAGTAACTACGTCCATACTATAAAGAGATTTTCTGAACACACTTAACTACAACGAAAGACATGGCTTATACACCACACTTCATCCCATTATTAAAGTTTCCTACTTTTCCTGGCGAAGCGAAAAATAAAGTAGAAAGTAGAAGGACACGACAGAATTAAAAGACGCGTTCAAAATGTTCCTCAAAACGCTCCTAAGATCCTGTCTTTTTTAAAACAATACAAGAAAATGGGGACATGCACTGAGCGGCGTTCGAAACTGGTTTAGAAGTCTGCCGAGAGTAAATATATTTGATGAAACAATAACACCAATAAAGCACTACAAGGAAACAGAATAAATCAAATGAGATTTCAAGTTCTCACGGTGGCGAGTATGAAGATGGCAGTCTTCTGGGTTGTTGCACCATGTAGTCAGGTAGAAGTTTACCGACGTTTCAGAGGTTTCTGTGGCCTCCATCACCAGGGCGAACAGAACTATCGCATATAGAAGTGTCCCTTTAAGTCTGAACATATTTCTGGCACAGCTGGTAAACATTTTCTGCAATTAAAGCTCCCGTATGTAAACCACAGTCTTCCCTTATCGCAGTTCCAGTTTTCATTGCGTCATGTAATTTCCTGTGTTGCTAGTTTCGATCCATTCGTTATAGATACTGCTTACAGTCTGAGCGAAAATCAACCCGAGGCAAAAATGTATTGGTGGGGCCCTGATTATCTGTGTGATCACGTCATCCCACTAAAAATGTCTAAACAGATTCATCATTCCAAAATAAATTCTGAATAGGAACAGCCCATAAGACATCTATAGAAGCTGAAGTGTGAGATATAATGTTAATGATAGCCACGATATGTACTTTATAGTACAGACCTATTACGTTTTTGCTCCGTGTGTCCAGACTCTGATACAAAACCCTTGCCAGTGGATTCAGCGGGTGAGGGAACTTCTCCGATTGCAATGAAGGAAGTAACTAAACAAAAAGTTATGACTTGTTTAAAACGACTGTAAGTTATATCAGGGGCGTAAACAAACAAAAGAAGTAGGATTTGAGGTTCTCACGGCTGTGAGTACGAAGATGAACGTCTTTTGGGTTGCAGCGCCGTGTAGTCTGGTAGAAGTTTACTAACGTTCCAGAGGTCCTTGCTGCCTCCATCATGAGGGCGATGACATCGCCCTCATGATGGAGGCAGAAGACAGAAGTCTTCAAACACAAGAAGGGGAAAGCTGAAATACAGACACAATCAGTGTTTCAATGTACGAGTAAATTTGCAAAGGAACAGACTGAATTATCGTTATTTACTGAACTTTAAATATTATTTAGATAAGCATCGGGTTTCAAAGTATCAGAAATTGGTATAACACAACGGAATGTAGTCATATTATTATCTGACTGGAGTATCGTGTATCTAATTATAACGAGTCGATCAATACAGTTTGGGTTCCCTCTTACATCTACCTGTATAAATTCGCGGCCCGACATTCTTCTGGAACCATTTCCTGACCGTTTGCCCCTCCCGAAGAAAACAACATTCTTTCTAGAAGAGTGCAAGTCTTCATCACACTGAGTCATCTATTTAATAGCATCATTCTGACAGTGATTTTACCGAGTGGCTTCACTTTTTCTGCGAAATAATAAAAATAGGATGGACGTTGCCTACAGGTTTTCTTTTCTGTATCAGGCAGAGGAATTTCGTGTCAAGGAGGAAACAAGAGGTTCTGTGAAGAAATTATGACTCCTACTTTCCTGCAAATTCTTTAGTCTGTATCTTCGGTTTTCATACGAGCAGTGAGTTTCTTCATCACCTGAGCAACTGTCAGCTTATTAAGAAGGATTCTGTTCTCTGAATTAGTTAACCTATATCGTGAAACTACGATTAACTAAACATTATTATACAATTTATTATTCATCTCTTAAACAATTTTCTAGTTAAGATGTTTGCAAGTACGCATTTCCTTATTTCCTCGAAAGTGTGTTTGGTGGACTCAGGTGGTTCTGCAAATGACCGATTTAATTCTTATCGCTTTTGACGGCGATAATGTGACAGAAAATGTCTGACGACCTAGTTCGGGCGTATTGCACTACCGCGGTACGCGGAATCAGTCCGAATGTAGCCTTAATGTTCAGGATGAAGGTGGATGGGATACTTTTTGCAGAAATGTTGGTAACCACATACAAAACTAGGCGGCGTCACAACCCAGAAGCGCACAATCGACAACTTCACCGCCTCGAGAACCTCAAATCTGATAAAAAAACATATTTTTGCCGCATTTAAAATTGCAAATGAATCGAAGACGATGAAACATGGCACGCAGTTCGAGCCTGATACAATCTTAGACCTCTCGGAACGTAAGATCGAGCATGACCACGGTGCAGCCCAACATGCAAAATTGTTCTTTTGGACTTTGTCCAACATCTAAATTATAAATAAAATCACGTTTCGGAAGGTGGGCCAAACAGATAGGGTTTCTGTCTTTTCATTTTTGGTGTAGTCTGGTAGAAGTTTACTAACGTTCCAGAGGTCCTTGCTGCCTCCATCATGAGGGCGATGACATCGCCCTCATGATGGAGGCAGAAGACAGAAGTCTTCAAACACAAGAAGGGGAAAGCTGAAATACAGACACAATCAGTGTTTCAATGTACGAGTAAATTTGCAAAGGAACAGACTGAATTATCGTTATTTACTGAACTTTAAATATTATTTAGATAAGCATCGGGTTTCAAAGTATCAGAAATTGGTATAACACAACGGAATGTAGTCATATTATTATCTGACTGGAGTATCGTGTATCTAATTATAACGAGTCGATCAATACAGTTTGGGTTCCCTCTTACATCTACCTGTATAAATTCGCGGCCCGACATTCTTCTGGAACCATTTCCTGACCGTTTGCCCCTCCCGAAGAAAACAACATTCTTTCTAGAAGAGTGCAAGTCTTCATCACACTGAGTCATCTATTTAATAGCATCATTCTGACAGTGATTTAACCGAGTGGCTTCACTTTTTCTGCGAAATAATAAAAATAGGATGGACGTTGCCTACAGGTTTTCTTTTCTGTATCAGGCAGAGGAATTTCGTGTCAAGGAGGAAACAAGAAGTTCTGTGAAGAAATTATGACTCCTACTTTCCTGCAAATTCTTTAGTCTGTATCTTCGGTTTTCATACGAGCAGTGAGTTTCTTCATCACCTGAGCAACTGTCAGCTTATTAAGAAGGATTCTGTTCTCTGAATTAGTTAACCTATATCGTGAAACTACGATTAACTAAACATTATTATACAATTTATTATTCATCTCTTAAACAATTTTCTAGTTAAGATGTTTGCAAGTACGCATTTCCTTATTTCCTCGAAAGTGTGTTTGGTGGACTCAGGTGGTTCTGCAAATGACCGATTTAATTCTTATCGCTTTTGACGGCGATAATGTGACAGAAAATGTCTGACGACCTAGTTCGGGCGTATTGCACTACCGCGGTACGCGGAATCAGTCCGAATGTAGCCTTAATGTTCAGGATGAAGGTGGATGGGATACTTTTTGCAGAAATGTTGGTAACCACATACAAAACTAGGCGGCGTCACAACCCAGAAGCGCACAATCGACAACTTCACCGCCTCGAGAACCTCAAATCTGATAAAAAAACATATTTTTGCCGCATTTAAAATTGCAAATGAATCGAAGACGATGAAACATGGCACGCAGTTCGAGCCTGATACAATCTTAGACCTCTCGGAACGTAAGATCGAGCATGACCACGGTGCAGCCCAACATGCAAAATTGTTCTTTTGGACTTTGTCCAACATCTAAATTATAAATAAAATCACGTTTCGGAAGGTGGGCCAAACAGATAGGGTTTCTGTCTTTTCATTTTTGCCTGAAGACGGAAGTAGATCCAGCTTCCGAAACGTTGTAATTTTTTGTTTGTTTAGAAGATGGACAGGGTCAAAGAAACCAAATTTGAAAATAATTGTATGTTTATACTCGTCGCCGGTCTTTATCACTCTGCCCGTGAACAGTTGAATGTAGGGCTGTTTCTAGAGCAACGGTGAGAAATATTTAAAGATTTCCACCCCTGATTAGAACGGTAGAAGAGGAGGAATACCAAGGGAAAAACCATGCATTTATTTATTTATTTATTTATCGTTATTGTGGATATTATTATGATCGAGTCGCGGTATCATTGCGTAATGCTGTTCGCCTCGAAAGAGCACTGGCAGACAGCCACGTGTTCGCCTGACCTGTACTCTGGCCGATGCAAGATAAGCAACTGCACTCTTCGATGTATAGAATCTTAGGTCCGAGCTGGGGCTTCCTATGTTACACGGAGGCGGGCGGGGCCAATGCTATTTAAATCGCAGCGCTAGTTTCGCGAATCCAATACCGTATACGAACCTGAAAGGCCTTCAGATGGGTACAGCCAGAGGAAGCCAGTCTGTGCAGTGGTGTTCTCTGTCTGTGATCTTTGAGGTTGACGTCACTTTTCTGGGCAAGTTGCTGGAAGGTCTCCAGCATGAGGTCGCAGGTGCTCGAGGTGGGGTCAGCTGCAGAAACGGCAAGCTGACGCACTAGTGCGTGTAGAGTCGTGCGTCCATCCAAGTTCTCCTGGATGTTGGCGTCGCATCCCGCTTCTAGGAGAGCCACAACCAGCTCATGAGGATTGTTAGATGCCTTTCTCGATGTGACGGCCAGGTGAAGTGCCGTCTCTCCCCTGGCTGTGCGAGCGTTTACGTTACATCCTCCAGCACACAAAGCCCTGAGGAAAAGAAGCGAACGTCGCCAAATTTCGTATTAAGTTTATAACACAGAGCATCTAAAGCCACGGTGAAAAAGCGCTTCTGCTTGGTAAGCTAAAAGTTCTGGATTCGAATCTCTGTCCAGAAAATTACAATTCTGAATGTTTTGTATGGCTTTCCTAAGCAGATGCTGGGATAGTACCTTCAATACGCCACGATCATTTCCTTCCTGATATTGTCCAATTTCGTAATTCATAATGATTCATGCTGCCGTTTGACACAGCAAAGCGTCAATGAACGAGTCACGAAATAAAATAATTACGTAGACCAGAGTCATGCAATTCGTTCATATAAGGAAGTCAAGTTCGACGATATAGAAGCCACTGAGTGCTGTATACATGGGTCCTTAAAATGACGTAACGACACATAACTGTCCCGCACGTTCATCGTTCCTCAAATGTTTTCTTCCATTAAGCACCCTTGCAAGAGAAGACATCTATAGAAGGACGCAGTTTGGGTCAGAATGAAGGATTAGGTTAGTATCTTTAATGGGCTAAAAGTACATTTATCGTATATAAATACTGATATGTATGTTTATATATTATATAAATTAAAGAGCTATCTTCCCGAGTCAAACCAAATGCTGATTAGATTTCTCAGATGACGACAAGGACCAATAATTGGTAGACGAGAATGTTATTTCACAGCAGGCTTAAAACTCTTAAAGGGAGGAAATTGGTTCTTGTTTTCAAATCCGTCAGATGATAGTCTAAACTAGTAGGTCTATTTTTAGAAAGAACATTATATTAGTGTGGTAAACTTTGTTTTTCCGAGGAAATAGTCATTACACGATTTAAAATACAGGAAGTTTGTTTAAAAAGTCTCTGAAGATGGAGGCAGTGTATTCCCCGGAAACGTTTGTATCTATCTACAATTCCACATGGTGTTACTACCCAGAAGATCAACTCCGACAGATCCACTGCCGGAGAACCTCAAATCTCATACTATCTGCTGTGTTAAAAAACCTAGCAACTGCGTGATTTTCTGAAGTCAGATTTCACAATGTTAGACCACAGGAGTTTCCACTGCTTCCGCAGGAAACAATGGCTTTCTTAAACGGACTTATCCTGTTTGTTACTTGTGGCTACTTATAATGGAGGCAATGCTATTTCCATATAGTGCAAAACCATTCTTATAATATATATTCGAAGCGCAATACCACTTTAATGTTCAATATAACATTTTTCACATGCTCTAAATTAAATACCGTTTCAGATCCTGCGTTTCAGCTGACACTCATTTTGATTTCCATGCATCCGAGGTAGGTCATATGTCTAAAGGTTTGCGGTGGATGGCATTCCGTATACCTAAACTGCTTTGATATCTATCTTGAGGAAAGGCATATACTTTGTGCAGTATTTATGATATACTACCATATTCATTCAATAACGTTCGCGAAATCCAGCTCACAGAGCAGCACTAAGCATCAAAATGTATTCGGGAAGTACTTGGTCGATAGTCACATTCTTCACCAGGTAAGTGATCGTGTAATTTATCGTAAGGTCTCTTGAGAAGTTTTCGTAGATTGCAAAGAGAATCTGAGATATCAAATGAGGGGAGACAATTTCTAATTTCCTTGGTTCATCTATATTTTATGTCAACTTCATTAACATCAACTCAGGAGTTGATAAATAGGTGTAAAAATACTTTTATCAGCAGAATACAGTCTAATCATTGAAAGTGATTGCGCAGGTGTCATGCTTCTGTTATGTTGACTTATGAACTATATGCTGATATTGCAGTTTTGATATGCACTTGACTGAGTTACTGAAGTACTATTTCACAATACAGTAATACTCGTATAAGATAAACAATTTATCGGTTTATGTAGCCAGGACGTGAAACGTTATATGCCACGATGGTTGCTTTAAGAATGATTACCAACTTCCAAAAATTAAGATGATTTACACAAAAATTCTTCCAAACAACATTTTATTAATAATATTTTTATTGGGGGGAGGGGTAATTACCCAATACGCCAATCTAAAGGGCGCTGGAAGTTCTAATTTGTTTTAATTTTGTGTTGCAACCATTTAATACATGGCAGCACAATAAAAGATGTTGATATCTTCGTATTAATTTATACATTTAATTTACACATAAGCTACATATACTATTATATGCATTACAGTTAATAGAAAAAAATTACAGATTAACACTTTAGAAAGAAAGATAAGTTGAAAGTGGTTTTCATAACAAATACAGACAAATGCAAAATATATCGAGATAACAGCAGCACAGAAGATGAAATGATGAAACAGGGTTGTTGTCACTCTATGTAAAATACTACGAAAAGTAAAAAATACACACGGTTTGAAACTGTCGCGGTACACCAGTTGAGAAACATTAGTTGAATGTGTTGGCAGTCGAAAATATACATTGAAACTATAGACTTCTAACTCATCAATTAACCAACTCACCCTAAGACCTCTGTATATCTTAACCCCTGCTTGTTATACTTCAACTAATACACAGCAGCGCCCTTTAAATAAAAATCGCGATAATTTATAATATTTAAAGCAGTAACAGAGAATTAGGCCACAGCACAGTTAAGGGGACTATCTCTTTATAAAGCAGATAAAAGTAATCAGACATAAACAGACTACACATAAAATATATTATAAAACAACGGAAAGTAATATTATGAATCTCAAAGAAAGGTTTAAGGGGAGTGTCTGAAAAGGTGATCTAACAAACAGGTTAACTAAAAACTGGATGATGACGTAACGAATATTCTACCAAGCATCTCCTTGAGCTGACGTAAGCACATAATTAGCGGGTCATGGCACTGAAAACTCCACAGTAATTAGTAGAATGACGAATGCTTTATATGACAAATAAATTACTTGTCTCTGTAGACTATACTAATGACAGTGATCCTTGGTTTACTTAACAGGAATTTTTCAAAGACAGGTTTTGAAGCTCTGAATAATAGGATTATTTGTGAAATCTAGTGCAAGAAAGCGGCCATTTCCATTTTAACGCATTAATCCAGCATCTCCCGGTAGCAAATGACAGAAACTATGAAACACATCAGTCTGGCCAGCCGGTTTCGGGGTCCACGTTCTAAGCCAGAATCTTTCAAATGTGGTGTAACGGTGAGAACTCGTATATCGTATCCAGTAAGTGCGTGGCTGGAATACTGTTTCAATTTGAATAAGCAAGGCTACAACTTATCAACAAACTCAATGAATCAATTTCGAGAATTTGTTTTTAATTATAACAAAATTACAATAAACTATTTAAATATAGTTCTGTACAATCGCAATAGGAAATACAACGATCAAAAATCGATATATCGATATCTTCAAAGAGCATAAAAAACAATAATGCACCTGACAACTTGAACACTTCCAACAGCTGCAGCGTGTAGCAAGGGTGCATCTCCAGACCTCGCCCAGTCCGGTTCATCAGGGTCAGCTCCTTGGGACAGAAGACGTTTGACGGCTGTGACGTCCTGACGTCTTACAGCGTCATGAAGTTCCGACCCAGTAGCAGGGTCCGATTCACTAATGTTATCATTGTCACACATTCTATCTTAACACACACGCAAACACAACTGAATAGAGTCACTAACTAGCTGTGCGTTTCCTCCTTCCCTCTGCTTTGGCTCTAGCAGGCTGTGGCCTGCTGCCACCACATGGAGAAGACAGAAAAACAAAAGAATAACGTTGACGAGCAATATTTTTTGTAGTTGCAACAGTCTGACTTTACTTTTCCCTCTGCTTTATACCCTAGTGGAGAATTTTTGTACCAAACATAATACGTCACCAAATAATAATCTAATCCTTTGTGTTAAGTTTTATTATTAATCGCATAAATGTATACTAAGCATGTTCTGTTAATTTGAAGTTGTTGCTGTTTTAGGCGAGTTATTCACGCTTTTTTTTCCTGTTCCAGGAACTGAAGGTCACAAGAGTTACAAAGAACGGCAGTTAACAACAATGAAGCATGTTTACATCATGGGTGAACTATAAAAAGTGTTCCATAACGTGAAATGTTCCAACATGGTTTTAACTAATAAATAAACACCACGAGCGTTAATCTAGGGCCCAAACTCTTTTGTGTTCACCGATCTTATTTATTTATTCAAAATTAACACTTCCTTCGTCCAAACTGTCCTGACATTGTCGTCAAATTGAGATATAACCGACTTCACTTTGCAAAGATTTGATTTTAACTTCATGTAAGCTACTTTTGCGTCAAAATCTCCAACAAAGTTCCGATAATACAAATAAATTAAAAGACTACTCAATCAACTGTGAACCAAATATATTAATTACTACACTTACGCTTTCATTTTAGTAGCCGCCATCAAACTGCATGCTTCAAGGCCACGAAAGGACTTAACCCCTTTCACCGCGCGTTGCTAGCTCTGCTACCTTGCGAGTTCTGAGCTTCCTTTATTCGTCTGTGCTTCGCTGTTCGTGTTGCAACGTTGCAGGATTGTGTTGTGACCTAGCGGCATGCAATTTAGTGACGGTTACCGTAGAAAAAAACACCCTTCTCCAAGAGCATTAAGCTAATGTGATTCAGCTGTTTCAATAAATTACGGATGTCATGTAAATTACGGTATCTGGAAACAGAAACTACTGCAGTGATCATGCTGATGTAGAATGTGGACTCCTTTCTTAAGAAAGAAATAAAGGAATATTTCCTTTTCTTTTCAAAATTTTCATTAAAATGAATTTTCCATCCCCCCCCCCATAAGTATTTAACTTTGTAACGTGAAAATTCACTGATTTCAGTAGACTGAAGATAAAGATGATTATTTCTAGTATTTTTGTTAAGTTGGTTATAGAAACAGGAAGCAGGCGATAGGCTCATTCACTTCACTGAGTTCAACGATTTAGAAAAATGACGGCCTTGATCCTAAGCATTGAGTTACAATTTCGTGCTGAAAGTTTTTATTTCATGACGTCCTAAACTCTTCTGCATCACATTCAATACAACTGGTCCATGACCTTTCATTAAGTTACATATCTAAAAAAAGAAAATTCGTAAGTCGATTTTCCACGGAAAATCGATGATGACCTACGGTGTGCTAGAATGGACGCCTAGAAAAATTGAATATCTTTTGTTTCACTGAAGTTCATGCAATAATTTTGATTAGGATTTACTTTCCTGACCCAGTATCAGTAATCATACTTATATGTGTAAATACAAACAATGACATTTAATTAAAATCTTATATAAATTTCAAGGATAGTGTTTAGGGTGTTCTTATCTTGTTATTCAACCCAGAGAACAGCCATCTTTTCCTCAATGGACAGACCGACAAACCGGTGACGTCATGCTTGTGTACTTTGTGTGAATCGTAATAAGATATATTTGTGGCGATCAAAAAGTAAATCAGGAAGACGAATCAAGTAAAGGACTTCAAACTGTTTCAGAGATATGGCCTTACGATAGTTGTTATATAAGCAAGATAACACAATTAACGGAAAATTACATTTTAATTACCCTCCTACAAAACTTGCATCAGTAATAAACGAAAATAAGTGAAAATGATGTAGGCCTATACAATACTGAAAGTAACGCATCTGGAAACCGTGAGTACTCCACATTTTTGAATATCTTCCCACTCCTGTTTAGACTTTCATTTCCTTGTACCGTAAATGATTATGTACCAATATGTTATTATAAATAAAGCTGACAAAAAAATTCTTTTTGTCGGAAAAGTTCAGGGTTACGTTTTTCATCATAAAATAAAGCAAAAAGGAAGCCTGAACGACCTTTATACGAAGGTCGCGGATTGTTTGGAACAAGTACGATCGTTTATTTGAGAAACACATCAACGATCGAGCTTTAATGTGCGGCAAATTCACACACTGACAACGCCATTACTAATGTCTATTTTTTTTAATTTCCGTCTGGCTCAATATCACGACATTTCATTTCGTTGCAGTTTTCTTATCAATATGAACGACCATAATATATATGCACTCAAGTAGATCTGACACATCATTTTATGATTTCAGATTTTTAAACGTTCGCTGCTTCTCTTATCGTTAATTTTGCTACAGTACACGTCGTGCTATTGAATTCAAGGCATTTTGATGTGGAATGAGAATCCAGGTTAGGGAGTTTCATAATTCATATGTTATAGTTACATCTGAAACGTCGGAAAAACTTCTACCAAAACTACGCGATGAAACATCCCAGAAGACAGTCATCTTAAGATGTTGGAATGTTAATTCGGCGAATGTACGTAAAGGATCAGACGAAAAATAATCACATTTTTTTCCCAGATCCTTCGCAGGAACAAAAATGAGCGAACTTGTTAGTAACTGGTAACAAATTACCAATTAATTTCGTGGCGTGGTTATAAGTGTTCTCGGACCGGATGTGGTTCGCAGGCCGCCATTTGGATCACGCTGACTTCAGCCATACAGCGTCGAATTCGACGATGATCCAGAACAGCTAACTGTGAATGATCATGTTATATTTTAACACTTTTCAGGTTATTTCTTTTAACTAAAAACCTTCCGTTAAAAAAGTGGCCTAGCAACATATAACGTCTGCTGCTGAAATGTCATGAAAAGACTTAACAGCCCAGAGATGGCGGAGGGATATTTCTTTAACGACCTTTTCAAACACCAAAAGAGCAGCTGCATTTAGACCAGAAGGGCCACGGTTTTTTTTGAATGAGATATGTCGTGCGTATGACGGAAAGGGTTGAGATAATATCCAATTATTGGAGAGAATCACGAATAATGTAAAAATAATTGTCCTCAGGCCGATATTGGCCCTCCCGAATTCGAAGTAGGAGTTTCCTGGTAAGTGACTTCAAACAAGGTTTGTTTACAGTACTCATACGCATTTGGTCTACGTGACCATTTTATGACGTTCTCACTTGACCATGAAAGAAACAGTAATGACAGCTCTTGAATAAGTAATCACCGACATTTGTTGGGCAACAGAAAAGCTGTTGGCTACGCACGCACTGAAATTTTGCAGAAAGCACAGTCCTCTTTATTCAAGGCCAAGTTCACGTCTAAGATCGAAGTCAGACATATGCGAATTAGTCTAGTGACAAGAGCATACATGCATGACTTTGGCATTAAATGCCATACACGGATAATTTCTATTTAATCCTTGAACAACAGCGTCTATCGTTTCTGTTTCATTTAATCTGTTCTGGACTATATTTTGGGTGTAGATGGGATCTTATAAGGCGGGGAATTTATTGGCCAGAGAATGTGAATTTGGTAAGACTGCTTGGATGGGATCTGTATTTATACAGGAAAGCAAAAAAATGAAAGAAAATGCTTGGATGGGATCTGTATTTATACAGGGAATCAAAAAAATGAAAGAAAACCCCTTACATTCATGCCCTGCGTTTGCGCCTTAGACCACGGACACTCATGCAACGTTTACCGAGGTCGCTACTTTTATCCTATTTTTCCCACTGGATTCTTAGATCGTGTTTATTTGAATGGAAAAACATCTCATAGGACGCCTATCCCGAAATTATAAATGCACAAAAATATTCGTTTCTCGGTGAAGTTACAATCCATGATCCTATAGATTGCTCGGCCCTGCTGTCTCCAAATTTCCAAAAATGAAATCGTGGCACAATCCATCATACATTTCAAATATAGCTACTTCTATAGTCGGGGCCGAGTAGTTAGCACTCCTGCTTCGTATTCGGGAGGTAAAGCGGTCCGAATTCGGACTGGAAACCTATTATCCCAGCTGAGGTTTTTCGTGGTCTTCCTCAGTCTACTGAAGCAATTGACGGTGTAGTACTTTAATTAGGCCATGACCACTGCCTTTCCAATTCATTAATTATATCAATAAATTATATACTGACAGCGTCGTTAAATGAACCAATAAATAAATAAAATATAATCTTAGTACGAAGAGGAAACACATCACTAGATTACTCTGCGTTTTTACCATCTACAGATTGGTATATGTGCTGAATAATTGTGTTGAAGCGCTACTAAAATCCACAACGAATCAACTTTTAATCTCATCCAAGTGATCAGTTACGAAAACAAACAACATCAAAGACTGCTGTCTCACTGCTGTGAAAACCTCAAATCCTACAAACAAGATGAACTTGCTGTAATCGTTCTTGTTTTGCAATACTAAATCAATACTTATTTTACGACGCTATATAGCGTCGACTGAAAGGATTATTGTCAATAATGAATTGGAAAGGATGTGGAAGGAATCTGTCGTGGCCTAATTTAAGGTACTGCCGGAATTTTCCTGAAGGCACTGGGCAAAACCATGAAAAATCCGGATAGGATAGTAGGGTTCTGTCCGAGTTTTTAACCCGGGACCTCCCAAACACGAACCAGGAGTGCTAACCACTCGACCACGACATTCAGTCGCTGGTTGAAATGTTTCTTAATGTGTGTGCGGGAAGAACTTAACTGTAGGTGTCTGAGAACCAAATTCTGATGACAAAATCTGGATCTACGAGATGAAATAGGAGAATGGAGAAAATTACACAGTGAATAACTCCATAATTTGTATTCTTTATATAATATTATCACGATTGAATAAACGATACGATGGTCTGGATATGTAGCACGCACAGTGAAGATTGGAAATACACACAGAATTTTGGTTGGATGACATCTGAAGGAAGAATGCATGAAAGTGGGGACAATATTAACATTGATTTTGAGAAAACAGAGTGTGAATGTGGATAATGGATTGAACTGGCTCAGGATGGTACTCAATTACGGTTTTTTTCATAATAACATTCAGATTCCATAATAGCAGAAAATAGGCTAACTAATAATTTTAAAACAAGTAACTAAAATGTATTAAAGAAATAAATTGAAAAAGAGTCAAATATTTTGAGGAAGATAATAAGAAATTGGCATACTTCCCAGTATAAAAAAACATTCTAGTGCATAATCATGCTGATTAAACAGAACATTGAGAGAATGACTTGTAAAAGCCATTACTTGTCAGAGCTTTACAGATTAGATCTGGAAAATTCTTTATTACAAGATAAAGGATTCTACATTAATTAAATGTTGTGCTATAAGCATGAAAATAAGCCATGAATATTAACCTAAGTTACGGTGGATTTCCATAGTCCCTTCTGATGAAGTTCGATTAAATGCAAATTGTTGTCGTATTTTATCAATATGTCATGTGACACAAAACCAAATAATTTCCAATTTAATTTTCATATTCATCAGTTGTCCAAGTTTTTGAATTGTAGAATATCTCTGTAGTTCAATCTCCAAAAAAATGACACTGTAAAGCATCCATATTAGACTATCTGTTAGCCGTTGACAACTTATGTTCCTTTCGGAGACAAAGTTATTTATCCATCCACCCATCTATGAATACTTAATGTATAATGGGTTGGAGACCCATCTTGAATGAATAGCAGTTTCTAACTATTTTTCAACTAGAACTAGTACACCATATAACATTTTCTTCTTCTTCTTTATTACGCCGTCTCCTTTACAGGAGGTTGGCGACACATTATGAACAGGATCCTTCCATCCTTTTCTCGGACTGGGACCCGTTCATATGTTTTTATGCAGGTGATACAGAAGTGGTTTGCCATTGCCTTCTTCTGTGTGTATGGAGTAATTGTTGGGATGCCATGGAGAAACCGGGGAAGCCCCAGAGGAAAACTCCGTGTTGCCTAGACCATGGCCTTGCCCAACACAAGTTATAAATTCGGGCACCGCCGGGAATCGAACCCAGGACCCCAGGATTACAAGGCTAGCGTTCTAACCGCGTGGCGGTCATATAATATTTTACAACTCTGATATTTATACTTGATCTTCTATGCATAATCTTTTAGCCCTGTTAAAGTAATAATGATAATAGCTGCAATAAATATTTAAAAATAAGGAACTAATTTCCAGACACAAACACAGAAGACTTTTACTTACAATAAATAAAATAATGATGTATGAAAAGGTCACAAGAATACATGTCAAAACTGTTTACTACAAAATGAGGTCCAAGAAACTTAAATGCCTCAGAATCATTAGCACATCAAACAAACAATCAGTACAGTGACTCAATGGTAGTATAACATGGTGCATGTTTATAATCCACATATAGAACTTTCTCCAATTACAAATAGCAAAGCAGCGGTCAAATGCGAAGTCAAGTTTCTGTTATAATATTACAAGCAGAGCAAGTAATATTATTCTTACTTCCATGACTCGATCTCCCAAGCAATCTCAAATTCAACTTCAAGTTGCATTTCTTGTTTCCAGTCAATGTCATACTTCTTTATTCAATTTCTCATACAATAGCAGATGACACACTGGGTGATAACAGAAAGGGGGGGAAGTGAACAAGATTTTTTGTATGAAGAGTTCATTTAAAGAAGCCGTTTGAAAGACCATGATAAAGATGGAAGAATTATATTTAAACAAATCTTATGGAAATCAATTCCAAAGAACTGTCAATTCACAACATTTTCCATTATCTGTTGACCTCAATTAATATTCAGAACAAAGAAAATGCTAAATAAGGATCAAGAGAGCCGGTTGTTTAAGCATGCAAATTTTGACATTGAACTAAAGTCACGGACTCCAAACAACACATTTTAATATGTGTAGAAATCATGCTTTCAGTGTTGGACCTATTCACTATTCTTAGTCTTTCTCATAAATATATTCCTGTAGTTAACATGTTATAGCCTTTGAGCTATAAATGTCTTTTGTTTGGTTACCTATTTCATTCACAAAAACATTTTGTTAAAAAAGATTCAGTTCCCCTGATGCATTAAATAAATATTTTCCAAAAATCATGATTACATTTTTATTTATTTTAAACGTATACATTTGCTACTGAAATTTTTGATGTGACTAAGGTACTGATAAGATAAAATGATGGATTCAAAAATATAAATTAGAAAAAATAAGCATTCATCCAGTGATCATGTTTTGCTGACTTGAATTCATGGGTAACCTGCTTGCTTGCATATAACTTTTGCTGGTTTTGATCATCCTGGTAAGATGTTCTCCTTTCTTTCTGGTAAGAAGCAATTACTAAACAAAAGGATCATGACACATTTCATACAAATATCTTTCCTTGAAAAGTTAATGGTCACTTTAGTAGTCAGAAAAATTCCCTGCCACTTATGGAAACTTAAATGATCATTACTGTGATCATAAGGTCCCAAAAATTGTCCATATCCTCAGCCAGATGCATCCATGCATGTTTCAAGCCTTAAGGTACATGTACCATCTATGACTAGGTCTCACAAGTTAACAATATACACCATCTTGACAAAAAAAAAAGTTTCATTGTTACTCTGGTTTGAGAAACAGGAAAACTTCAAAATTAAATGCAATTCAAACTTCAAAACTAGTTTTATCTCTACAGAAAAATGCAACTTCCAACTGAGATGTCTCTGAAAAATAAATTATGATTACTTACAAGTACTTTTAGTATAGAGAACATGAATGTAGGTATTTTAATTACTGATAACTTTCAATGTCTTACCATTTTGATAGAGATACTTGTGAAATTAATTAAAAATAAGGTTTTGTAATATAATAATTTCAGGGACTTCGCCCACATATTACAAGATAAATTACAAAATGTGAAGGATAACTAACTTAAGATTTGGTTGGAGCCTCAACAAATCCAGAGTAGCTTCCTAATTGACATTTCAAATTTTTATTCTCAAAATCACATATTTTCAGTTCACATATTTTTATCCAAGTTTGCTAATGGTTTGAAACAAGTTCAATGTTGTTATCAGCAGCAGGCATATCATTTTCAGAACAAATTTTGTTAAGCAATAAAACTATCATCTTATGTGAAAATTTGCTCTTTAAAAATATGAAAATACAAAGAAAAATACTTGTCATCCCTTGCCAGTTTATAGTCAAACAGAAATTTGTAAGACATCTAAAGTTTTTAAAGGCTGGATTTTATGGGACTGAACTGCACCAAATTTGATCAAAAATTGCAGATAGTTTTAAAGATGAAATATGTGGATGGAAAGATGAACATAACTTTCCATAATGTTTTATGTTTATTTCATACATTATTTGTAGCACATCAACAGATGAGCAAAGGATATAAATTAATCCATTGAACATTTACAATTGGATTGGGAAGGGCAAAACAATGATATAGATGAAACCATAAGTTTTTAGAGTAAAATAACTTTTTTATTAACAAGAACCATAATGCATTACACCAAAAATAATATTTCATATGCTAATGTCTTTCTACAAGAAAACCCAGCTAGCAGCTGACAATTCAACAACAAATTTCTTTGGATAAAAAACCACAAAGCTGCATAATTATCAGACAAAAGTGCACAAGCCCAAAATAAAGAATACAGCAATAGGTACAAAATTCTTTACAGCACAAATGTATTTACTCAGAACATAAAGACTTGAAAATGCATTCTGACTCAAATTGTTCCCATTAAATCTCTTGTAACATACACGGAAAAAGTGACAGCAATGAAATCAAAGTTGAAATCTTTCCAACTTTGACAGTCTCATACATGTATATGAAAATGAACTGATGAACATGTTCTATTTTTCATACAGATAAGCCAAAATAAATGGAAGTAATCAACTGAAGAAATGGAATGAGAAACAGGCAAGGTTGTCTTGCAGCAAGATCATCTAAACTCTGCACCTGAAGTAAAATGAATTAAAAACTTTATATTTCTTGTAATTATTTGTAGCATATTTCATTTTAATTTCTGTATTAACAACACACAGTTGCTTGTCAGAATTGTACTCATGAACTTAAGTGACATGTTATTTTCTGCAGTCTAGACTTTGGAAGCAGTTACCAATGATGAAAGAAAACAATAAAACAAACTGTTTACATTACATACATATAAACAACTTATTAATTTTTTATTATACTTTCAAAAGGAAGATGGGAGAGTAACAGATGCAGATTTAAGTATTTCATGTCAGACACATGAATAGGGTTAAATGACAACAGAGTTACAGATGTAAGCCTTTCTGTCCCTACTCTCACAGTGTTTACTGAGAACACGCAGAAGAGTTTTGAAGAGTGTGAAATAACAGATGAAAAATTAGTTTTCATTAAAATTTTCTATGAAAAGTTTACAAATACCTTTCTACCAACACAAATTTTCAAGTATAGGTAAATGGGCATTACTTTATTTTCAGCACTGACTGAATTTAAAACATATCACATAATTGTTTTTAATATCAGTTTGGAATCGGAGAGATTCCACACTTTTATACTATATGTGAAGGTAGGACACTAGTTGAAAATTGCAGTCTTCTGGTTGTTCCACCGTGTAGTCTGGTAGATTTCCACCCAAAGGACTGCAATCTTCAGACTCACTACTGTGAAAACCGGTACTTGTGGGTTATTGGGACACAAAACGGAGAGGCACGGCCCGGCATCATCTGGATTCATATTTAGCTGAGTTCATGTGGCGGCATACAAATGATAACAGCGATATTTTTAAAACGATTCTAAAATCTATAAGTGAATTTTGGCCTCCGGAGACAGGTAGTAACAACATGCATATCCAAATAAAATATAATAATTTGTCAAGTACCTGAAAACCTCAAATCCTATAGGAAATTAGTTATCCCTGTGCTTAAGCACCATGCCATTTATGACATGAAGCAAAGTTTCATGTATTTTTAACCTTGGCACTATAGGGAAGTGACTGGTCAGCTTCACACTCCAACCACTTTATCTTCAGAGAAAGAGCATCAGAACCATGTAAATAGAAGAATGGGCCAGATGTGGTGCTGACAAATGAAATTTCTGACCTTGCTAGAAATTGAACCTCAGTTGTTGAGTCCATTACCAGTAAAGGAAATACAAAAAAAAAAAAAAACTTTCATTTGTGCAACTTCTTGCTGTATCTAGTTCCAAGTGTCTCCAGCCTTCACAATTCTAAAAATATCAATACTCAAGCACTGAAGCTTAAGCAGTTCTGCAGTATAAACTGACGAATTCCTTCCCTTTGTAACTCTGCAACTTGATTTAAACATCCAGAATATATCAGCCCGAAGCTATATATTTTAAATAGATTTTCACTGGGAGGGAGAAAAAACTTCATAATAATCCAGCATATCCTTGTCCATTCAGTTCTTTTAGACTTTTGAAATAAAAGAGAAGAAAGTTAAGTTTAAGTTCCATCTATCAGGATGTGTCTAACAAACAGAGCTGTGGTACCAGGATGCTGTGATTCTCCTTAACCAAAATGGAAGAAAACTATACATTTACAAGAATACAACTGGAAAATATACACAGAATTCAAGTGCCATAACCAAGAGATCTGAAATGGAAGGCTGTAAAAAGATGAATTTCTTAATGATTAGGAAGAAATACATTATAATACTGTTACTGGCACAAACATACTTGTTCTGTTTCAAGATTACTTTACTTCGAAGTCATGATGGACAGTTTTGTTTCCACAGAGGTGGCAATGTACAGATATTGGTTAGAAAACAACAAATACCCAAGTTTGACTATGATGCAACTCCATCAAAATTACAGCCAAAGGGCAAAATTTCAAGTTCTTAAAACAAGCCATTTTTAACAGCAAACTGTTTCACATCTTTAATATTACAGTTTTTATTTTGGAATAAAAAAATTAAAATCCAAATAACATTTTAATTTAAATTAATGTTTTATTTATAACAGTACTAATTACTGTTTGCAGTTCCATCTCTCACTTGACACACTTCCTTTTTTGTTCACAATTGTACTTTATGTGGGGAAGGGACAAAAGCATAACCTAACAAACATTACACTGTGAACATACATAACAATGAATTTAGTTCCCATATACTTGTTTATTCATGATATAGGGCTGAACAACTGTAACAGTTAAAAAAGTACATAAAAAAACAAGTTATAAAAGTAAAGATGATAGCTAAATTATCATTCTATAGGAACAGTGACAGGAAAAACTAACTTCTGCTCTTCCAATAAAACCGTTGTCTTCTGCTGCAAGACATAGGGGGATAACATGCGAGTGTGTGTTCTCGAATCTTGTGATGTTACACTAAATGTGCCTTAGGCAAGGAAGTAATATCTATATAAGATTGTTGCAGCAATTCCAAGAGCGACAGGGACAAGCCATGACTTCCATGCACTGAAACAATTGTCACAAATACTAGTAAAACCAAACAAATGCACACCATTCCATTCTTAATACAAATACACTTTAAATCACCCACATTTTACTTCCATGGTGGATCACATTAAAAAGGATAATAAATACCACAAACACTGCAGTTAATATCATGATAATAATGTACTAGATAAAAATAAATCATTCTTGATTGTAGTCTCAGGACAAAGATGCCATACAGAAATGAATTTTAAAAGTTAAAGATAGTTCTTATACATACATAGTGTACCTGAAGGGTCTGTTCAAACTTTCAAAACGAGTTCTACACAGCAAAACAACACACAAAGTTCATATGAAAATGGGTCCTAAAAAGCTTCCATTTCATGTAATCAAACAGTTTCATACTGGCAATGTATCCAGTTCACATATCTCTTGGCTTTGGTGTTGTGCTTTATTGGTTTCTTAAGAGTACAGTCTCAGAAGGGGAAGAAAAAAAAAAGGTTCACTGTCAATAGACACAGAGCAAAAAGTTCAGATGACACAAGTGAAATGACAGCAGGTGCATCAAAGGTAAATCCAAAGTATGCCTGATTTTTAGTTGTGTCCCAGTGAAGTGCCAGTAAAAACCACTATGTTTGTCTCTCTGTATACATACAACAATTTCAGAACAACCAACCAGAGTTTATGAAATTTGATAATGGGAAGTTTCACTAAAATTTGTCGATACATTCCAATTCTCATTGAAATAAGACAACAATAAGTGGTACTCGGCATGAAATCCTACATGTGTTTCTGTGCTCTGAAGTGAATGGCTGGAGAATTTCCCAGTCACAAAGCTCAAAGGCCAGGGATCTCCAGTATGGGGAATTTCCAGGCAATTCACAAAAGGTCAATACTGGCAAATGCACAATTGTTATGCATACTTTTTCCTTGTTATAACACCCACAGCACAGACTATAACAATCAGTATGTTTCATACCACAATGTACAAGAGAAAAAAGAAATCTGGGGGTTTGTTCTTATAACTTCTGCAGTATGTTCTCTCTCACAAAAAATCAAATAATTTCTCAAGTATTACAGTGTAATACAATTTGTGAAGGCTACTACACATGGCACCATAATTTCAAAGTTTATTAAAGTTTGAGAGAAAAACAAGAATTATTTCTCAGATGATAGAAGAAGCAAGCGCCTGTGAAACATCAGTACACTTCTACCAGACTACGTGGTGCGACAACCCAGACGACAGGTACCTTCAAGACTTTTTATGCATCCTAACAGAATATAATTTATTTACATTCCACAGATCCTTCATAGGCCTAATCCATATAACTAGAACATGTCACAGCACACAGTATCACACCCTCAAAGTCTACTGAAGGTAGTGTACAAATCTTCCATATTTTGCATTCTGGTATATTCAGACACAATGTTCCCAGTAGTGCTGATTAAAGGTATATTGTAAGAGTAAAGAGATCGACACACGTAACTTTGTTTGTATACTGGACCTTGTATATGGATGTTTGCATTTTTGGCTGGTATGGGTAATTGATCATGTAAAATTCAAGTAAGACTATGAACAAAATTATACATAAAAAATGTTATTTACCTTGAATTTCTATCATCCTTTTCTGGTTGCCAACTTAGATTCTTCTCCTGTGTTTCAACTCTATCTTCCTGTAAAAAGCGACACTTGTGAAGCATATTGCATTCACAGTTCATTCTATTTCATTCTCTAAACTGTGCTTTCACACATCCTTCAAGACATAATGAAAAATAATATAGCATATAAAAAAGAGTTTTCTTTAACAGAACAGTACTAGTACAAACCTTTACTTCAGAGCACATATTTTATATTAGAGAAAAATAATCTCTAAAAACAAATGTGTGTGCAAGTGTATTATCTCATTCCAGTATCTGTGCCAGAACTGCAACATGTTCAAAAACTTCAAAACTAAATATTATTGCTCTGAAGAATTCACTGGGAAATTAATTTTGGATAAGGTTAACTTAATTCATATATACCTCAACAAGATCTCCAATTTTATATTTCTTCATCAATTCCCGTGCATCTGTGGAATGACCAACATCTTCAAAAGCTTCTGTACCATCTTTTCCAGCTTGTTCCAATAGAACTTCTTCACCTCCTGGATGCTACAAAATGTTATAACTTTACTATCATACTCACGTTTATAGTTTAATCACACGGGACTAACAGAAGCCAATAACCATACAATCGGTCACAACACGAATATATTCTGCAAGTCACTGCGTATAAATATGTAACAAGTAGTTAAACTTACCTCATTTAGAAATTCGGTTACATTGTATACCGAATTATGAATTATTATCCATCCACTCTGACTGCTGTTGTTCTTTGCCACTTCATCACGTCGATATAATTTCGGATCAGCCATTTCTAAATACACAGATTATTCAAAACCCTACGTTCCTCCACAAAGACGTCTATCGTTATGTTGCGTTTCTCGCACAGCTGTCGCATTCGGAACTTCCCATACTACTAATAAAAACTTGAAAGTCATTTGTCAGGTTAGGTAATGCACGAAATAAACCTCACTATACAGATATATGTATCAGGATATAATTACTCACTTGTTTACAAATATAACACAACAGAATATTTAGAATATACATTTCCTGGTTTAAAAAAGATAAATATCAAAATATGTGTTAATAAAATAAAATAAAATAAGTCTTGGCACGTTTGTTGGCATTATTGTGCACACAACCTTCAACGGAAGGGAAATACGTCATCGATGTTTACATACTATTGAAGATAAGACGGATTTAAACAGTTTTCGATTACTTTAACCGTATTTTTAACAAGTTGATGCTGTACGTAAACTGTTTTCACTGCAAATGGATTAATGTAACAGAATTTACAAAACGCGATGTGCAGTACTATTTTGCGTCTATTATTTACTCTGGTTTTGTAAGTTGTAAAAGGGACAAACTATACTTCTTGTTGCAACTTCAGTGTCATGCAGTTTGTATTTTGAATCTATAATGTCAATTGTCCAACCAGCTAATCCTAGAGACGTTCAGGTAAGCAGTGCTACCATAAAGTTTGGTAACGTGTAACCACATAACCTTATAATTTTTCTTTGTGTATTGTAGCCTAGGAGTAAAGGATGTCAAAGTTATTTGCCGGACTAACTAGTTGCGAATTGTGGCCAAAAGTTATTCAGGCCGCAATTATTCACATACATAGGTAAATTCTGAACCCTAAGGCAAGGGTAAAAATGCTAGGTTTTGAAAGCACCGTGCAGTTTCTTTCTCTCCAGATACAAATTTTCACCTTCCACTTTCTACCAGGAAGCAGTGGACACCAACACAATTGCAGTGTTAATCCATTAGCATAACCAAAGCTACCTTACAAGTCTCGGTGAACTGATTCATTTGCAGGCCTGCACAAATTACTTTTAATTTAGGACAAATTTCTTTCCCAATGCTGAAGCTGCTACATGCATTGTGGAACTGGATCTCCATTGTATGAATTTGAAAATGTTATATCATAACAGCCTATACAAAGATGCAGAAAATTCTAAGCAGTGTCTTGAAAATGTTAGGCATCATGTTGACTTAATGTCAAGGATTTGTGCAGACCTGTTATTTCAAACTATGAAACTCATATTCACATTCATGTTGTTTTATATTTATCAGGATTTCCAGTTCAAACTTCTTACTCGTTTGAGAATTTTCACAGCTCAAGGTGGAACATTTACAAGTGCTGTCAATTTAGTAGCTACAGCAAATAAATATGGACTCATATTTGTGGGTTGCCCAACTGGTATCCAAGGTATGGTGTAATACTAAATAAAGAGAAATACTGTATTGTAATACTCTTTATCATTATATGACCTGAGCAGTGTTTTGGGAATAGACCTAATATTTTTTCTAAATTATTCAGTTTTGAATCCTGGTGGGTGTTTGTGAATTTTACAAAAAGTCATAACAAAACAATCAAAACAAATATAGAGACTTTATCTTTCTTGCTTTGTATGTAGTAGCTTTCAATTTTCATTCTTAGGAGGCATATTTGCTGTTCAGAATGAGGTCTTCCTTTTCCTCAGTTTTTTTTTCTGTAGTCATAGACCAGTCATGTTTTCTGTTACACTGAGTAAGCCTCCTGTAATTAGAGAGCTATCTGTTGAAGGCAAATAAAGAAGTAAATATTACATTAAAACTCAGTGCTGTGTTTTTCCCACTGGTAAATTGCTGTCTTCAGCATGTTCTTGAGTGATTGGCATCGAGTACTTGGAAGTAAATTTATATTCTTTCATAACATCCAGAAGTCAGATAGGACTACATCAGGCAAGTAAGATGTAGTTAACCCCCTCTGTGAAAATGACCTTCAGGAGTAAAATTCCTTGCAAATATGCAGTATAAAATACAAAACCTCATGACCTTCATTCATATGGGTACTAATGGTTAATATGTTATTGACACCTACACTGGGAACAGTAAAATCATAGAGACTGCAGAGTTTCAAGCTGTAGCTGGAAAATGTTTATAACAGTAACCAGATGAATTTTACTGTTAGAGTGCATTTTGCATTATCACAAAAAATGCAACTTGTATTATAAAAGGTAAAGTTTCCCCTGTGCCTAAGCACCACACCATGAAGGCATATAAGATGTGGAGGTAAATCACTATGGTGTGACTAACATAAGAACAGACTGTAGCATTATAGCTCATATGGCAACAATGTCTCAGTATATCTGTCATGAAAGCAGGTTGTACATCAACAAAAATTTTGTGTTATCAGTTATTAAATCATCGAGCATCATTGGATTGGAATATCCCAGTGGTGGTACTGGGGGAGAGATTATTAATTATCCAAGACGAGAGATCCCACTTCCCTCGCAACCTACCCATCTTAATGTCAGCTGTGATCAGAGCTGTCTACTGGTTGCCATTAAAAAAGACAGTTGTGCCCATGCACTAATTTATAATCTTCCATCATTTGCAGCAAAGGTGAGTAATGTTTACAATAATAGTTTCATCAGTTACAGTCTCTAGACTCAGAGACTCATACTTTGACTCTCAGATACTGGTATACTTTAAAATGTGGTTTTAAAATTACTGGTGTACACTTTTTTTTTTGGTAAACAGCCATTTGGAAGATGGAGATAGGAGGATAATATTGAAATGGATTTTAGAGGAATAGATTGTAATGGCGTGACTTGGATTAAATTGGTTCAACGTTGTTGAATTTAAAGCAATGCTAAGTATGAATTTGATTTATTGCTGATAGTAAGTTAAGTGGGATTTTTGTTAAGTTTTATTATGTTCAGTCTCTGGACATCTAACTGAATTGATAGTAACAGAAACAACACATCTCTTCAGTATTGAGTTTGTGGCTAAAATGCATGTTTTGAACATAGTTTCACTTTGTGTTCAGAAATTATGAACTCTGTATACTTTTTAAAAGTGTGTCCTTTATTTCGATGTAATCAGAAGTTCTGGTCACAACAAAATTTCAAACTGAAACAGTTTTTATTTTCCCAATTGAAAAATTAGTGATTTATGACTGTTGTTTCTGCAGTCATCAATTATGTTATATTTTCTTGAGTTAGTAACCAGTTTACCATGAAGTGTGCTGGGTCAGGAAAACCATAAATTTTTCTTTTATAAGCACCCAGTGTTACAGTTATATTCTGTAATGCCCATTTCTGCAGAACGTTGTCCTGGTGACTGAAATCCGACTGTCAACCAAAATTGATACATCAGTCCTTGAGATAACGTGGAATCCTGGTATTACAAATATTTTGGCTGCATGCCTATCTGATGGAAGTATGGTGGCTTATGAATTAAAACCGTCTGGAGTTGATATTAGCACTCTACCACCTGCTACTCAAGCAAAGTGAGTATTCTTGCAAGAAACCATGCATTCTTTGTAGAACTTACATAAAATGAATGCACAGTGGGAGACCATGTTAGTTGATTCACATGTTTCATGAAATTTCATATTGAGGTCTACGTTGGAAGTTGTCAAGAAAATTTAGTTTTGAATCATACTGTTGCAAAAACAATTTAGTTTAAGTTTCATGTAATTAAACAGATTTTTCTACATTGAATTGGTTGTAAACAACACATCATTTAAAAAAATTGCATATAACATACCTACAGATGACAATATTTACCGTTTCTTCATTAAATATACACTGGTATGATATTTAATAAGCTACAGGGATAGTACATTTATGTGTGCAATAGATAAAATGAAAAAGACTTAATTTTTTCCATTCTGTTAGAAAACATACTTATGATATGGAAGCAAAATTATGAAATGTGAGATTTGATGTTCTCATATAATGTGGATGATGGTGGTGTTCTTAATAGGTCTTGATATCATGTAAACTTTTAAGTAGATACCAGTTTTTTGGAGAAACATGCAGCGCCAGCACCCAAAAGCAGGATCAGTATCAAGTTTTATGTAATTTATTTGAAGTCTATGTTCTGTGGTTTATAACTACCTGAAATATGGTTTTTAATTTTTCAGTTGTTTCTGTTGGAGTCCCAAAGGCAAACAACTGGTTGTGGGCTCTGAAGCTGGAACACTGACACAGTACAAGCCAGATTTGAAAGCAGTGAAGACTTTTTCACCCCCACATATTGGGAGTGGTAATGTGGCTGTTGTTAATGTACTTTGGCTGTCCAACTATCAGTTTGCAGCTATATACAAGGATAAGGTCAACGCAGATGAGCGGCCAGGTACTATTATTTCTCTTCCCATTGAGTTACACAGAATTTCATATTTGTCTACTGTTTATTTGTTGTCAGAAGGAGGTGGTAATATTTCTCTGAACCACTGGTAACTACTGACAAGACTACAAAACCCAGATGACCACAGTCTGCATGGATACTCAATATTTGTAACAGGAAGAACATAATAGTAAATTGTAATGCTATTTTGAGTTTCAGAAATGAAAAGGAATTTTACAGATACTAGTATGGTTTGATTCTGACTGTAGATTTTCTTGTTTTTTAAAAAAGATTGGAAAGGTATATTCTGCAGAGTACGCAACATTTCCAAAATCATTCTTCATGTCACATCTGCTGGGTGTGGTAGGAAATGAATAGTTAATAATTTTTATCAAAAACTAAAATAGTGCCAATATTAATTGAAAATTCTCCCTATTTTAAATAGATGTCTTCTCTGAATTTATTTGTAATAATATAATTTAAGGAATTACAATGTAAAATTTTGTGATTATGTGCAAAAAACCACATGCAATGTGAAGTGATATGGAAAGTTATTATCATTTTATAACTTGCTGAATAACTGTACCAGTAAGTAGGGAATCAATGCATATTCAGATCCAGGCAGGGGATACTATTTTAATTTCATAATTATGTTTGAATATACTTTAGAATAATGTTGCTATAATAATATTATATGTTAATCAGTAATTGTCATAATTTACTTAATAAATCTCTGATAATAACAAAACTGATAGTTAGCAAGAAAGACTCGGCAGACAGATGGCTAGATGGGATGTACTTGTAATGCTTTCTTCTTACACAGATGTGTAAAGAATGGCTAGTAATGAAACTTTATGGTTTAGTTATAACGCACAGGACAACTGTACCAAATTTCACAAGTTTAGGGAACTATCCATATTCAATGTATGGCTTCCATAAATTTTGAGTCCATAGTAATTTGTAATTTCCCTCTGCTAGCCATTATCCTGCCTTTGGTGGTAGTAGAGTCTCATCTCATAAGTGCCTCTACATGAGATATAGACTCATTTACCAATGCCAAGGATGATAATGGCCTTCAAGGTTAACAGGATTATTATTGGAGACATTTACCATTACACTTTTGTAGTAACCACTTTATTCCTGCATAAGATTTGAGGTTTTCACAGCGGTGAGTATGAAGATTTCTGTCTTCTGGGGTGTTGCGCTGTGTAGTCAGGTCGATGTTAATCAACGTTTCAGAGGTTATACTGCCTCCGTCTTCAGGGCGATGACCTGATGATGGAGGCAGTATGACCTCTGAAACGTTGGTAAACATCGACCAGACTACACAGCGCAACAACCCAGAACACAGAAATCTTCACTTTATTCCTGATAGATTATAATCCTTTCATCAAGGATGCCTTTCTTTGAAAACTCTGAAGTATTGTAAGAAGATAATGAATGCCTTCCTTATGTCATGATATTTTTTCTTTATTTCTACAGGTTTGCTGATTGTGAATGCTCCTAAGACAGGAACATTAAGCTTTGTGAACTATGAGGACATCTGCTATAGCGGTGGAAACCTCCGGGCACCACAGTTTTATCTCATTTATCAGCCAACCTGGTATGGCATTATAGTAGAAGAGTGAATATGACATTTATATGTAACGTTTTAGATGGATGGCTGATTATTTAATTATTATTTATCAAATCTAAACATTCTTGCTCTGAGTTTTGTCAAGAGTCACGTCAGAAACAAAGCATGAATCAAGGCCTGAACAAACTTGATGGTCTGACAGTCTGTCTAGCTAATAAAACACTAATCAACATATACTACTATAAAGTATATTCATAGAAGACTTACACTGGATCCTATTCTGAGCCAGCTCAGTTGAGTCTACATTTTCACAATCTGTTTCTATATTTTAATATTATCAGTGTTACAGTAAATGGTTACCTGCAGTAAGTGAACATTACTTTGAAGTCTAATCACATATGCAAAATTGTAAATAATTTATTCAGAAGTCCTGCATTAGCATTTTGTGTATATTAGGTAAATTGTTTCTCAGAAAAAATATGCGAAAAGTGTTTGCTTATTTTGTTCATTTTATTGATAGGAACATACTTATGATGGCATCAGCAAATAGCATGGAAGTTGGTGTTATGGGGCTGCAAGAGGATCAGATCTCGTGGGAGCAATGGACCCAGGAGGATGCTTCTCGAGCTGAATTGCCTCTGTCAGTAGACAAGCAGGAGACATTTCCTGTGGGCTTAGGGTTGGACACGAGTATTCAGTATGAACTTCCATGGGGTCAGTTGGAAAATTTGTTATTAAATATTTTATTAACAGGAAATAGTTGGGTTAGGATTTTTAGACTTCTTAAAAACTTGTGGTTGCTGCTGGTGCTATTCCCCAAGATATCAGTAAAACAACTGTCATATTTTCATTTAATTTAGTTTTGGGTTTTAACTTGAATCAATTTGGTGCTTAGGAATCTTCAGGCATTTTCCCAACATTACCTATGAAATAGAAATCTTAGTTGGAATTTTCCATTACAATTCACAAATCTGATTAATATAATGTGTGGTTTTGAGAGACAGGTAATGGATTGAAACACGGTTTTACTTAACCAAGTATCACTGTGCTTATTCTTATTTGCATCTATTAAGTGAAATAAAAATTATGATGGAGGCAGTATGACCTCTGAAACGTTGGTTAACATCGACCAGACTACACAGCGCAACAACCCAGAAGACAGAAATCTTCATACTCATCGCCCTGATGACGGAGGCAGTATGAGCTCTGAAACGTTGGTTAACATTGACCAGACTACACAGCGCAACAACCCAGAAGACAGAAATCTTCAAACTCCACATAAATAAAATGTTAGAATGTAACATGTTTAAGCAGTAAATAAGATGAGCTCTGTTTCATGAGAGGTTAGTATTTGAATATGGTGCTTATGGACTTCAAAATCAAGTGGATCATTGCTCATTCATTTGAGTCCTAATTTATAGAGATTCATTATTATGAAATACTTGGGTCAATTACTTCAGTAACTGTCATTACTTATGAATAGTACTTAAAGCATGAACCTGTGTTAATTTTTAATTGAATTGGTTCTTTATTAATGAAGAGCAATACCACATGTTTGAAGGAACTTGTTATGTTTATTCCAACACTGTAAGACACTTTCTTTGAAGACTCAGCAGATCAGTATTTCCACGAAAACATTAAATTGTATAGTGGTTATTCCGTTTGAGAAGAATTACAAAATACTTGATTTTGCATGATTTGTCATGATTGCAGGTGAAAACCAGAGCATTCCTCCTATGCCTGTGCTTCATATCCTGTCCCACCAGGGTGTGCTGTGTCTGTTCTATGCAATTAACCTGCGACAAGGTGCTGCTTGCATCTGTTCACCTCCTGAGAAATTACCAGATGAGAGTGGCCTAGCATTGATCACTGCCATTCCCAAGGGAGATCAAATTCCTGTGAATAATATTCTGTCTGGGGTTACCATGACAGAAGCGCCACGGAGTGTTGCTGACGATGGTGTGATAGCAAGAACCTCTGATCAATCCCAGAAGTTGGCAACTCACTTACATGGTGGTACCACAGTAACATCAGTAGATGATGGTCTGAGAGGCATACAAGTTAATCTTGCTCAGAAGTAAGTTATTTACTGTTTTCTTTTATGATTGTATATTTTTTAATAAAACAAATGTAATTTGTTTTCTTTTATGGCCTATTACATTATATTTGTATGCTATTTGCTTCTAAAATATTATTTTGGCTGGCTCTAAGGTAAGGGTCTTTATGATAACTTTATAGTTCCTCACCTGGTCAAGAAATTCCTTGTTTTTATTAAATCTGAAGGTTGGAAGTATGTAATTTTTTTAAACACCACATAAAAATATATTTTTTTGAGTATTTACAATGGTCATGTGAAACAAATGGTTACATGACATTTTATGTATACCCCTGTTTTCGACTGAAACTTTGAAATAAATACATGCTTGGTTTTAACACTGAGGAAATTTTGAAGCTTGCTGTAGAACATTGTGTAACATTTTACTGTATATGGTATTGTACTATTGATACATTTAAAGACTTTTAGGGAGCAGTTGTAACCTCTATCATCTTCATTTGCCAGGTTTGAGACTGCAAGCACCTCACAGCCGTCAAGTTTATTTGGATTTGGCACAGCCCTAGCAAGTGCATCGCCTGGTGTCTTTGATTTTGACAGTAATGCAACTTCCACTAGTTTTGGTGTCAACCCAGCTGCTTGTTTAGGTGCTGGGTTAACTGTTAGACCGTCTTCTGGTTTTGGTGATAGACCGACTCAAACATCATTTCCTGCTTTTGATTTTTGTCCCAATCCACCTGGTTCACCATCTACCATCTTTGGAATTGCAAAAAGTAATCCATCTACCACCAGCCATGGTACAGGCCTTGGTCATACATTAACCAGCACTTTTAGAACAGGTGTGATCAATTCACCATCATCTTCTTTTGGTACAAGCCATGGTACAGCACCATCAATAAGCTTTGGCACAGGTCTTGCTACTCAGTCATCTATTGGTACAGGTCCATCAGTGAGTAATTCGCCAAGCACCGTGTTTAGTGCAGGCCTGGACCCTTCCAGCAATGCTGTTCTGCCAGCAAAACCAACATTCAATTTATTTTCAAGCTCAGCTACAACTACTGCTGCCAACTTGAAACCAGTTCCAGCACAGACTGCTATCAACTTCACTTTCACAGCACCTGTAATTACTTCAACACCCATTACTACTCAACAGGTATGAATAATATTATTTAAGAATAGGGCTTTGATAACTTTTTAAATTATAGACTACTATGAGAAAATGAGCAACGTTAGTGAAATGACTGGATACGGACTGGGCATTGCAGGTGTGATTCTGTGTGGAGGCTGGAATTTTCTATTTTGCACGATGTCTATATCAGTTTTGGGACACACCCAACTTCCTATCCAATCAATACAAGGAGCTCTTTACCTACGAGTTAATTCCATCTTTTGTTACGATTGGGCAGACAGTCACTGAGCCACTCAAGATATTTTCAACATTTTATGGAAACCAAAGGTTCATTTTTGTATTCACAAGAGCCTGCCACTGGTCCCTATACTGTAGGCTTCTCAGGAAGGACTCGGCTCCGTGGAGTAAGTAAGTTAAGATTGAGTAGAGCTTTCCAATTTATGTGGTTTGGCCACTAATTGGGGAGGGGGGAAAACGTTTTCCTCACACACTTTCACATTTTACCATTGAACCAGATCTCATGATGTATATTGTTATATATCATACTGTATGTATTTTCATTAAATAGCTATTATATTTTTATCAATATTAAAATCTTGACTATTTTTAAACTTTTTTGTTATATTATTATTGATTGTCAAATTGAAGTTATGCTTGAACATGACATAGTGATATTCTGAATAATTATGTTTTAAAAAACATTTGCAGATTTCAAAATCAGCAACTCCACTGGTAACTTCTCAACCACAAAGTACAACAGTAAATCCACAAGTGAGCTTCCTTGGTAGCAGTTCAGCATCGTCTATGCAAAACCCAGAACAAATGGTTGGCAGTTCAGTCACCATTACCAAAGTTCCATCTCCAGTTTCATTAACTCATCCAGCCAAGGACGAGGCACCCGCATTTGAAGTTCAGTTGCCAGCACACGGTCAGACGAAGCAAGCCTCATCCTCAGCAGCTACTGCTTTATCCAAACCTGCTGTGCCAGTAAATGACAGTGTATTTTATAATGCCATCAATGAGGAAGTTTCACACTTTGAATGTGAGCTGGCAGCATTGCATTTCAGAGTTAATGAAATTAATGTTCAAGTAAGTAACTTCATCACGTGTTCCAATTCTCACAGTTCGTCACTTCATAATGCTGTTTCTGATTCTGCTTCTGTCAATTTCCCTCCTTGAATTCATTTCAGTAACGTTCCTCGTATAATCTTTTCACTTGGTTAGAATTGTATTTGGTATACCAGTTTTTTATCTCATTTTTATGGCCATGTCTAAAGCTGTCCTTGCTATTACACTCTTTTCTGCTTCCATTGATCTGTTACAGTGTCACCATCTTTAATGGAGGCTTCCAATATCTTTCCTTCCTTATGTTCTTGTTTCCAATTTTGTTTTTATTTGTTACTGGACATCAACGCTGCCGTTGTTTTAATTTTTTTCCTCAAACATAGTATATAGTCTGTTGTTTGTACAAATTGCAGTTCTGAGTTAGTTGATGTACTTTTGTCTTTCTTCTAGATTGTTCATGTTTCACATGCCTTTGTAATAATGGTAATTGAGTTTCCATTCTGAATTTCATAATATAATTTCTGTACATCAAAATTAGGTGGGGTCTGAAGACGAAAAGAGAGTTCTGTGTCAGAAAGCAGATGCACTGGATGAGTTCTTGCGGGCTTTGGAGGACACAACACAGGCCCAGAGCTCAGAAATATATGGCCTAAAGCCTGCACTTATGGAAGCTTTTGCATTAACGGAAGAAGCGAAATCCAGAATACAGCATCTAAACAATCCCACGTAAGTATGTGCTGCTGATTTTTGGAGTTTTAGAGACCTAAATTTAGTGTTTATTGACTTTGATTATTTAGACATCTCTGTAAAGTATGAATGCTTAGGGTATTTGTTTGCTTCAAGCTTTGTAGCAGAAAGATTGTTCAGACTTCCATAAAACTTATTTTAATTTATCCTAAAATTGTCAGTATTTGTATGCACTTCCTATGTCGGATATACAGAAACATAATTGCAGGTATACTTGGGTGGTTCAATCACAAACCTTGAATCCGGTGGCCGCACGGTATGCTGCCAACATCAAGCGCCACGGTTATTATTTGGAGAATCAACTGCGTCAAGTGAATGAACATCTTGACAACAGCTGGCTTGAATTCCAGGATTCTCGCAAGCCACATGATAAGTGAGTTTTTTGTAGCAAGAAATAGTAATAAATCTTAATTCTGAATATATCAAAATTTGTAAGATATATTTTTATAATTATTATATTTCCAAACCATATTTTCTTTGCAACTTTATGGTATACATGTGTTTTTTCCTTCCAGTTATATGGGTCATCTAACAACCAAGTCTCTTCATCTGTCTCTATCATTGTACCTGCTTTCAAGAAACAGCGTGTGGATATATTTAATTCTATGTATTTATTTTTAGGGATAAGATGCACATCCCATCACTGGAATCAGTCTACCAAGCCATGGTTATACAACATGATATCCTCAACAGACAGCGAGTCATCATAGCTGACATTGCTCGCATAGTTCAAGAGAAAAGGAGTAGCAGCCAGATCCCTCTTATTTCAAGTGCAGTTCTTGCTCGAGTTTGTGACAAGGAAGCTGTGCACCTACACAAAGGGTATAGTTTGTTTTTCAGTGTTTCACTATCCTTTTGTGGACTTTGCCTTATTATATTGTGGAATAGACTGGCAAATTGTAGCTTCTTTGACAGGACTTGCTTGGCGTACAAAGGGCCTCACACTTCAGTTCAATGGCCATGGAATAAATTATTATGTTTCTGAACTGTATCTAGTGATGTGTTTTTTTCGCTGTTGAAAATATAGTTTCAGTTTCCTGACTTACGAAGTGTAGCCCGAATGAGATGTCGGGCAGGATGGAGACAACTAGACTTAATAAATTGTTTCCTGTTTTCAGAGAGACTGAACTGTCTCAGTTGGCTGAAAATCTTGTGAAGATGAAATTGGGACCATCAGATGTGCAAACCAGCAGTGAAGTACAGTACTGTCGCCTGTCTCGTAAGAAGGAGGCTCTTTTGAGGGATATGTTATCCAGAAACCCTGTGAGACGAGTGTGCCCCACAAAACCGTCTTATTGCATAACAATGGGTGGAATCTCTACTGGAAAACCCATAGTCAGCAAAGTTGATAATGGAAAATCTACTGGCAAACCCATTGTCAACAAAGATGATAAATCAGTTGCCACTGTATCCTGCAGTGACACATCAAGACTTTCTGCTGGTGTTGCTATTACTGAGCCCAAATATTCCTCTGCTCTGAATAATGTAATAAAAACTGACTCATCTCACTCTCCCCTCTTTCTGTTTGGGTCATCTAGACCTTCTGAACAACAGGATACTGGCAGTAAAAGTTCAGTTGGTAAAGGTTTCTCTTTAGTAGGTACTAAGTCAGGTCCTCCAAGAAAAGAAACCTCATCTGGCACAAGAATAGTAGCGTCCAGTGAAATATTTTCACCCACAGTTGAGGCCAATAAAGCAAGGTCTAGTGTTTCTGATGGCACTCAGTCCAAATCAAGGACTCATATAAATGATTTGGAAAGTAAGGGTAATACAATAGGGGATTTTTCATTTACTAGTGTGTTGCATAATGGAAAACCTGCTACCTCTGGAAATGTGTCTTTTTTAACGGGGCTTAGTAAAGTTCCTTCAACAGGTAAACTTAATGATGCAAGTAAGAAATTAGAAGATTGTTATGAAGAACTTACTCCACCTGGCACACCTGAGTACTCACATGGAGAAGTTGTTTCTTCTACAGGAAGTTCTGTTTCTAGTTCATTTACATTTAATTTAACTGTGACTCCAACCACTTCAAAATCTGTCATTCCTTCAAGTTCTGCCAGTAGCATTGCCAGTTCACTACAAACGAGTCCTCTTATGTCGTTGGACAGTATTGTATCTGGTATAGGTGATGGTAACAGTGCTTCTAAATCTACAACTAAGCCTATTCTTGAGAACAAATCCATTCTACCTTCATTGGCCAATAGTGCTTCTAGTGGAACAACATTTTCATTTGGTTCATTACCATTCAGCCAACTGCAGCAAGGGGGAAAAGGTGACGAGCAAAGAAATCCATCAGAAACATTCAAATTCTCCCAAACAACTCTACCTTTCAGTTTTGCACCCCCTTCTTCACTGTCAGTAAGGAGTACTGATGACACCTCTCAACTTACATCTTCAAAGGCAACGGCTATCACAACAGGTGTGAACATGAAGACACCTCTCTTTACAACTTTTGGCATTCAGAATCCTCAGAGCAACTCACCAACTCAGGCAAACATATTTGGTAATACTGAAAGTCAGAAGTCTTCCCACTCATTTGTTGGGAGTGGAAGCACTTCAGTTTCAAGCAGTTCAACAAATATCTCTGCTCAAGCTGCAGCATATATGTTCAGTAACACTGCAGGATCACCAGCCAAGCAGCCAGCACCAACAACTTCCAGTTCCACGCTTGTGTTTGGTAAAGAAACCACAGATACCACACCAGCTGTCGTCTCTCCTCTTAAAGTATCGGAACAACAGAAACCTAAAACTTCTCCAAAAAATCAATCTCCATTAGTAACTTCCTTTCCAAATGAGAATCTTTTCTCTCAAAGTGCATCACTATTTGGGAGTTTGTCTATTGGATCAGGTTCATCTTCAAAACCAGTAGCATCTGGGAGTACATTTGTAGGAGGCTCAGCCTCCCTTTCTGCAAATATTTTTGGAAAGCAACCAACATCCACTGACAGCCAGAACAGGAGTGATGTACAGAATGCACCTGAAGCTATTGGATCATCAGAAACACATACACAGAAATCTGGATCTCCTTCAAAAGACATTCAGGGATCTTCATCTAAACCAGCAACATCTGTGGCAGATGAAACTCCTGTAACAGTTGCAGATGAGAAGTCCAAATTATTAGAAGGGGCTGGGAGTCAAGTGGTGCAGAGCACACCATCTGTTATTGGTGATGCAAAGACTGAAAGTACAACAGCTTTCAGCTCTCCTCAATTAACTTCCAGTGCAAATGCGCCTCATACGTCAAAAGTCTTTGGTGAAACGTCATCTGCAGAAAAACCTATGACTGGATCCATATTTGATACTCAAGTGACACCACCTGCAACTTCACAGAAACCAGTGGCACCTTTTACTTCAGCTGCCACCACTTCACCAGCAACTCAAACCACTTCAACACCAAGCACAACATTCAGCTTTACCATTCCTACTTCAGCACCATCTTCTATGGCATTTGGTCAGAAAACTACAAGTTTATTTGGAGAGCTCGGCTCAACTTCTGCGGCCACATCAAGTGGCTCATTATTTGAACAGTCCATATGTAGCCCAACAACATTTGGGCAGAGTGGAGGAAGTGGTTTTGGGCAACCTGCAGATATAACAGTTGCTAAGACAAGTATATTTCAACAACCACCTGCGACAACAACTGCTCCATCTGTGTTTGGGCAACAAAGCACAAATACTACATCACTTTTTACTCAGGCATCTTCCACAGGTTCTTTATTCATTGGTGCAGGGAATACTGGAGGACTTAGTAGCAAACCATTATTCAAGCAGTCGAGTTTTGGACAGAGTGGCAGGTGAGTGAGACCAGTCATCTACATTTTATAGTGAAATGAATATGTACTTTATTGTTTGAGGACATGGAAGAACACTTTTAAACTCATATTTGTGTGTTTTGTCTCCTACTGGTAGTAAATGCCCTTTGTGATGTTTATTTAATGCACTGTATGATAATTATTTTTGTTAATAACCATATACTGATATATATAGTAAAATTGGCACTCTGCTGTGGTCATGTCTATTTCATCTCATCGACTTTTGATGAAATTTGGTATTGGGTCTGTATGCTGAAAACTGAAGGCAGATTTAATTTTGATTTATTACGTGCTGCTCAAATCAAACTTTCAAAATTCTAAGCAGAAGCTCATTATACAAAAAGGTCATATGTGATACAATGTATAGATCTCATTAAGATCTACAGTTGAGCAATTTATAATTGTAATAATAATTTTAATTTTCATAGCTCTGGTTTTGGAGCAAGTGGTGGATCCATATTTGGAGGAGGAGGAGGTGCATCTATGTTTGGAGGTTCAGGATCATCGTCTGGCAACCTATTCCAGTCACCAAGTGAGTTCTGCTGTAATATTTCTTTCTTTTCTTTTCTTTGATTTTTTTTATTATTATGGACTTGTTACACACTAATTTCTTTTCAGCTGGTGGAAGTGTTTTTGGTGGCAGTAATTCTTCAAGCAGTGGCAGTACTCCTGGAGGTTTTGGTTCTGGCTTTGGTCAGAGTGGCTTTGGTTCACCAACTCCTTTCCAGAGTAAGCCAGGTATGTCACATTCACAAATAATTTTGTGTTTACTTGACTGCTTTCTATTTTCAATTGAATTCGGTTTACTCGGGTCAGTTGAGTGTTTTAGTACATGATTACTTTTCCACAACAAATCATATTTGCAATATGTGAAACTTGTGCAGGTGGATTTGGAGGATCTCCAGTTTTTGATCGAGGTGCATCAGGATTTGGTTCATCCCCTACTTTTGGTGGTGCTCCCACGTTTGGTGGTTCACCAACATTTGGTAGCCCTGGGAAAATGTTTGGATCCTCTTCTCCAACATCTTCAGGTCAGCTGGTTCTGACAGCGTTGACATCTTAGAAATAATTCTATCAAGTACAAGATACGCCATAAACTCTTTTCCATGCACCTGCATTCAGTCTGCTATTTTCATTTATTTATCATCAGTGTTTCTCTTTCTTTCTTCTTTAGTCCTCTTCCACCAGTTTATTTAACCTTTTGAGGCTCAATGGCAATAATATGTAGCTTTGCACATGCAGAATATGGGTTTCATATTATTCTCAGAATAAAAAGTGATTATTTCCATAAACAGCATTAACCACTTGATCATTGTAATGGAGATGCATTGTGTTTTATTTGAGGTAAGAATTAGATTTTTACATATTATTAAGACAAGCTGCAGGTTCAAAGGGTTAAATTTATACTGGTCTTTATTTAATTTAATCTGTAGACATTTGGTAGGACTCCTTAGGTGGGGCAATATTGCCAGTATTCTTGCTGTCAGCATGAATTAGGCATTTTATTGCATGTACCAGCCTCAAAATTCTCTTATCAGAATTTTTTTGGTATTTCTATTATTTATTATCCTGCAGGTTTATAATTCCACAGTTTGTTTTGCCACCTGTTTTCATCCATTCTGTGTACAAGGCAATGTGTGGTGTTGTATTATTTCACCAGTTGAAAAGTGTTATTAAACAACCAGTCATTTAGGACTGGTTTTATTTTCTCACACCTCAATTTTAATGTTATATTATCTGTAAGTCCAGTCTTGGTTTATTACATTTGGTTTAAATTTTACATAATTTAGTTTCTTCTTCTAATTCCATATTAAATTCTTTTCAGTTGGTTTTGGAACAACAGGTCAGCAGTCATCAACATTTGAAAGTCTTGCCTCTCAGAACACCATGACATTTGGTAATCTTGCACAAAATCAGGGTCAAGTATTTGGTTCGAAAACACAGTCCATATTTGGAGGAAATCAAACTCAGCAACAGCAGCAGCAGCAGCAGCAGCAGCAGCAGCAGCAAGCCACTACACCTGCTTTTGGGTAAAATTTTCAAGTCTCCTTCATGAATGTGATCGATTTATTAATATTCAAAATCTGTCCGTAATGCTAAGTCTCTATGCCAGTGGTCCCCAACGTGGCGCCCGCCAAGGCCTTTTTTGAGTGCCCGCGTTGATACGGAAAGAGGTTATACTGAATAATGAAGGCCGTTCAACCATGAACATTATAAAATCAAGGCACAGACCTCGACTTACTAATGCCCATCTTGACTATTGTTTGTGAGCAGCAACATCATCCTACACTCCCAAATTTGAAAAACTGGTTGATGAAATGCAGTGCCAAATATCACACTAACTTCCCACTTGAGTAATAATAATTGTACTTATAAAAGTACGTATTTTTGATTGCATGGTTTCTTGTATCATTAAACGTCGTGTTGTCTTGTGTATTATTTGGTGTCTATATCTTATTTGTCCAGAGGAAAGAAAATTTGGCTTTGTTAATTGGTTGGCGCCCGCCACAATCTTATAAACTCTCAAATGTGCCCGTAGGCACAAAAAGGTTTGGGACTGCTACTCTATGCTTTAGTACCTTTTTTCTGGTATTCAGAACTAAATACACATTTCGTTGATTTTGAAATGCGGCTAAAGCATGAAATGAGCTTAGACTGATTATAATTCTAAATACAGAATTACATACTTTTAAAATTTCTCTACAGATCCCCACTCAAATATTTATTTAAATATAATTATCTTAATACATTGCACTTGTAACCGTTTCAGTGGCAACTCGTTTTCAAGCTGGAGATGAAAGGAAATAAAGATGACAAAATCAAGACTTCAAAAACGTTGCACTTCAGAGAAATAGATTTACTGTAACAATGTTTCTAGTATAGTTACATTTTTATGTTTTCGAAATGTTTTTATTATGCATGTATGTTTCTAAAATAAATTACAAAATTTTGTGCTGTTCCCTGCTCCATGAAGTAGAAGTCAAGAATGCATAACTTGTAACATATTTCTAATTAAAAGTCTGAGAAACCATCATTGCGCGAATGAAACGTCTGCCGCCCTTCTATTGTTCACGCTTGTGTGTAGTGTGTCCTTTTTATTTTACCCCCTGATGAGTAAGAGTCTTACAGAGTCCATTTCCTCAGTGGTCTTTATTCCTGTTTTCATATTTCAGTTTCCTCACTTTACACTCGTGTATTGGTGTATCTCCGTCTGGTCGTCTTTGAATTGACATCTCAGAATATATGAAGATAATGTTATTACAAAATGTTTCCTAAGTGGTTTCTGTTTGAGTCCAAGTGCTTGCAAAAAATGTGAATATTGTTGAAACTGATTACTGGGAATGACCCATTCTTCAAGTGCCTGAGCACTGCGGGTCCCAACTTTTTCGTTGGCTCGATCTATAGACATTCAGTAGGACTCCTTGGACGAGGGATCGGCTCGTCGCAAGGCCTCTACCTGTACACAGGACAGCGCAACACAGAAAAACGCAGACAAACATTCGTGGCTTGAGTAGGATTCAAACCCACGGTCCCAGCAACCAAGCGGCACGAGGCCCACGCCTCAGACCGCGCGGCCACTCGGACCCCTTACATAACATTAAAGAAGGATTAATAAACTGCTGAAATGCATTTCCTGATAACAGTAGCACGTAATCCATTGACCCATATAAAGCAGAAATGATGGTACAAGAAGTAGTAGCACGTCATGAAAAGGAGAGAAGTTATTTTAAAGATAAATCACAAATAGAATTTCATACTACAGCAATTAATGATTGAAGTACAATGAAAAGTTTGAAGAAAACTATACGCATAATTTGATGGCATATTTATTGAAGTTTATGATATTAAATAGAACAGTGTACTTCAGTTAGGTGATTGCATCATATTAGGTTTTATTGACTTACATGTATCTGTTAACTAAGACAGAAATCCAGGTGTAGAAAACAACTCACAAATTAGTATGCATAGGTAATTTATTGTACTTTGCTTTTATATTATTACTAACTGGACACAGCAAAGTTCTTTATGAGAAGTTAATAATGGCTCATCTGGTCAAATCTGCCAGTTTTCACACCAGCCTATAACCAGACCTTGTCCTGAATCTCACGAATTAAAATTCATTATATTATTTTCCTCCTATATATGCTTACATCTCCCTCAAGTGGTCTCTTCGCCTTAGGCTTTCCTGGAAAAATTTTGTATTTCTTGTTTCTCGCGTACTTCACACAATATGTCGCATTGAAAATATTTTAAATACATATTACAAATCTTATTAAGGTCTATGCCATGTCCAATTTTTGAAAGGCAGTTTTTAATTTAAAAAAGTGTCATTTGCGATTTTTATAAAGTAGAGATAGGGCTGACACAGATCAAATTAAATTTACATTGTTAATGTAGACTCTCACTATCTTTTCGATCGAAAAGCAAGATTAAACCATGTTTCACCATTACGCATCCATTTTATGCACTTCGCGCATAGAACGTGCAAAAATTGTTGGACAACGAACTTTAATCGTAATTTGACTTCCGTCATCTTTTCCTACTCTCACAACTGAGGCGCATCACAGGTTGAGAAATAGAATCTACTGATACTAAATTGCTCACGAGTACACCATTCTCAAACGCCATGCAATTTGCTGCGATTCTAACCCTCATGCTCAGATGCGAGAACTACCTCGACCCTCTCCGGAAGGCCCATATGACAATCTGTGCGATGATAAATGAGAGGAATTCGTGTCTTAAATAGACCTTGGAAGTCTGACTGAATGTCTTAACCTCCAAGTAATAATGCTAGATAGCTATATCGCCTGCGATTCAGGACGGAAATCGTTGTCTTCCATTGTGAATGTCGTTAAATCGATATAAAGGCGGTACTTGTACAAATGGTAGAGTAACGCAACGACGTGCATGATGATAGTGGCTGAACAGGGCAACATAGATTCAGTTTGCAGCACAATATCATGATGACTAACTTCGGGCGGCTACTCCACGTTCCAGCTGACTTCAGAAAGAAAGCTTCCCAGAGCCCCAAGTCGGCGGCAAGCGTCAACTCAAATTTTACCTCATCTACGAAGGTAATCAGCGAGACTTATTTTGCATATGCTGTGGCAGACCACAATATATCTCCAAGTTTCAGTCTATCCAGAATGCGAATTAGACTATTTAGAAACCAGATTAAGTTTATTGAAGAAGTTGATTTCTTACATAATAAAATTTAAAATTAAAATATATTTTCCGCCAAAATTTATAAAAATGTTCGTTAAACTATACTATCAAATCGTCTGAAATTGTAATACGAAACAAATTTGAAAAGTGTTACCACCAAACAACTAAGTTTGAGATACACAATTATCCATACTTTCCAAAAGTATTTACAGTGATAAAAACTACATATTTTCATGCATTCAGGGAACGATACGACCAAATCCGAATCTGAACGCTGAACTAGCAGCCCGACAACTGAATGCAGCATTTCAGGGAATAAAAAGTGATGCAGTAACAATCATAAACATTTTGACAACACACAGCAACCATCAACGACAGAAGATAAAACGGCATTACAAAATTCTCTATGTGAAAGTAAGTACGCACATCAGGGTGATTAAGTTCACTGCATTTTTATATCTCCAGATAACATATATTTTACAAATATGAAACACTAAGGAAATGTCTACGAAACTGAATAAAATACCACGACCGTGCGAAATACAGTCGATTTTGAAACCACACTCACTTCAAATGCTAATTGAGATGCTCAGAACTTCATACGTTTCTACAAGTACATTCTTAGTATTCTAAAATGCCAAATTATTCTTGGTAACGATTAATTATCTTTAATTTTGAGTAAAGATTTGCATTGCTGGTTTCAGCATAAAATAGCACACAACATGCGTGATTTACTGTTCTTAAAAGGTACCAGTATACTTGGATCAATAGAACTCTTATGTGTTTCCGGGACTTCGTAACGTAACAAACGTGGTTTAATGAATTATCACTATCTTCAAAGAAGGGCGAGATATCAATGTCTAAATTACGTGATATTTGCACCAAGTGTGCCAATTAATAAGTTATAGGGGAAATACAGCATTTCCTTCCAACTGCATGTTTAATTTCAAAAACTACTGAGCCCTCTAATTGAATATGCTACTAGAGAAAATTCTGAAAGCAGTCAGGCGTTTATTTTGGTTCGTATTTGCCAAGTGCCAGATAAAATATTTCGACATCATATGTATTCGTCATTACCAACACACGAAACAATTTATAAGGTGACAAGCATCGAAAAAGTACACTGAGGATAAAAACACGTTCTTGATATTTTTGTTTATTACTTAGCAATATTTAAAATATCCAAATAGAAATCGATTTCCCTTCCATATTTGTATTAGTTTATTTAACACTAAATGAACCCAGTAAAAATTTAAGTGTAATTAAAACATCTAACTGGTTACATGTAAGGCATTAATTTAGTCGGTAGTTGTCACTGGCCTTTATGATACAAAATTAACATTTCTGTTTGGAATTTGTTTATTTACACTTCTACGCTGCGTGTGCGTCTAATTCAATACGAGAAATGTTAGGAGTAATGCCTAGTAACGAAATGTTGGTCTTCTGGGTTGTGATGCCTTCAAGTCACACGGTGTTACGATCCAAATAATCTAGCATCCACGATGCCTAATATGGCTATATTGACATTTTCAATATATAATTTGTTACTAAGTAAGCATGGAGTGAGCCAGGAAATATTAAAATAAAGGTTCATTTTCATTGTTGACCTCTTATAGCCTCTTTATTTTCAGAACTGGCTTCAATGTTTACGGTCTCTGTAATCACGGCCCCCAGGCACGCTCGATTATCGATTGTCTTCCACGTGCGATACATAAAAACAATGTCATATCGACTTGAGCACTATACAAAATTAACAATTATTTCCATTCGTTTGTATACTTCTACATCGTTCTATATTAACTTAAGAAGTCAATGTTTATGAAGAAATTGCAATTTAAGGTTACGATATTGACTGTTAATTTGTTTAGTGATGCTGTATGAAGGAAATTGCGTAACAAATATCAATGTGTTTCTGTTCTTAATCTACTTTCGTTTAGGTAGTTAAATAGAGATGTAGGCTTACATGATATGTATCTGTTTTTCTCCTTTCGAAGTGTCGTGGCCTATTAAGAAATATCCCTTCAGTCAGGAAAGTCGGTGTTCAAGCCAAGAACCGAACTTGGAACCTCTTGAAATGCGGTGACAGGTTGATACAAAATAAACTAATTAACAAGGTATTTGTTATCCAATTCCATATTTTCACAGCCCACCGCAAGATTCCGTCCTAGTATTTGAAATTTTGTCAACAATTTTTAGGATTTGAGGTACTCACAGCAGTGAGTACGAAGATGGCTGTCTTCTGGGTTGTAGTGCCGTGTAATCTGGCAGAAGTTTTCCAACGTTTCAGAAGTCCCTGCTGCCTCCATCATTAGGGTGATGAATCCATCGCTCTACAACCCAGAAGATAGCCATATTCGTAACACTTTGATTGTATATATTACTTTAGATGTGTAATGTAAGTATATAAATCAATAGAAGAGTCCTCTTTGAGAAGATGATAGTAGTTAGGACAATAAATAAGTCCACCGCTATATGAGCCCCTAATTTTCATCACTGTATTCCGAATAACCCGCCATTGAACCCTAAACTGAGCTAGATAAGCCCAGCCTACACGCTAACGTCATATTTCTTTGATGCTTGATGTAATATTATCCTCCCATTTATACCTAGTTCTGCTAAGTTGCGTATTCCTTTCAAAATATTCTACTAGAATTATGCATTCTTTTCTAAATTCATCGGTGTTTTTTGCCCAATAAATCCCATTCTCGTTTGTTTGATCACGCTAGTAATACTTGGTGATGCGTTCCACAGGCCTATAATAAAACGATTTTCAGGAATTGGAGAGCGATATTATCAGTGATCTTGGCGGCCACTTCAGGGATGTTGCCCTGGCATTACTGCAAACCCCCCAGGAATTCGTGGCTGACAACATTCACATGACTCTTCAGGTACGGTCAAGCTCGTTTCGCGTAATGTCTAATTTGTAGGGAAGTCACAGATAACTTCCGTCAATTCCTTTCAACCTCTTATAAAATAAAAATGTCGTTTGTATTGCATATTTTTACGTGATAATTTTCAAACTTAATTTAAAAAAAAAAACTTCACGTAAGGTGTCAAGAAGGGACACAACAACCCCGAGCTTTCTACCGAACGTCTCTGTTCATAAATTAGAATCCATACTTTGTGTTCTGAGGGTTCCTGATTTGAATCTCGGCCGGGTGCCCTGCTATCCTGAGATATTTTGTTATTTATCGCAATATTTCTAAGTAATATAAGACCATTGTCTTCAAAATAAGCCACACTCATTTCCCCCCACACATCATTCGATACTCATTCAAATCGTCGTTAAAAAACAAATAATATTCCTTTTAAGAATTAAATCTAATGATAAGAGTTCACGACCTCCACAACGATAATTTAAAGAAGCGAACTGCCCCAGAATCTCATACTGCGTCACCGACTGTCACACAAGCTACAAATCTCACTTCAGTTTATTTATTTCTGTACAGAACTGTACCTACACTGCGGTATAAACATGCAAGTTGCCTCGGTATTACGTGAGCGACTTGTCGAGGATTCCTGATAGTACCGATAAGCATGTAATATTTAGCGTCACAAAAAAGACGGCCTTCGGTTGTTGGGTTCTTCAAAGAAATTATATAAATTGCGTAATCAACCACTTCCCCTGAAAATCAAATAGCCAAACACTCGATTATACAGAGAAAAATAATATAAACAAAAAAAATGGAGTTTGTCATCAAACTCGCCGCCATGACCACGTGAAATTCTACTTATTTTGAGGAAAACTTACAAACCTTAGACTAGCAGGCGAGAAAATACAAGTCTAAAAGGACACCGCTGTGCCCCGACTAAGGTCAATTTCCCACCCATTGATTAAGTGATTACTGTTATTTTACCAATAATTTAGGTAGAATGAATTTTGTAACGATTTGTCTATAATGCAGAAAATTCGGCCAGAAGAGTCAATTATGGTGGAGTTGCTCTGTGGACGAAGTAATTCCAGAATAATGCTAATTAAGGAATCGTACTATAAAAGTAAGTACTGTACCTGCTTATCTTTTCTCTAGCTTTCAAATAAGAAAATGAAGTGATAGAAATTAGACGCAATGCTACACAAGACAGCTATTGGCTTAGCTAACTTTTAGCGTCTTAATTTATTGTGCTCTTAGATGTAAATTTTTTGTCAAATATGCATGAATTTTATACGTAATCTAAATGATACAAGACCGTAGAGGGGTGTAAAATGGTACGTATATCATGCAGCCATGCATGGGGTAATGAAAGTTCTGGACTATTTGCATAAAGCATGTTGAATCAAATGGGCTGTGAATTATGAGGGGTCAAATCGAATTGATGTATTCATATCAACAACTGCATTTAATCAACAGGGCAACAGGTACAGGTAAATTGCTGCAAGTTTGGACATGACCTTCAGCTGCGACATCTGACTTTTGAACAAGACATATTTTCAACTTCTCTCCGCTAGGTCATGTGTTTTCTTACAGCAATACACCTTTAACAGTTGCTGAATTATCGACTGGTACAGTCTTTGTGTACGGATATACAAATATCCGGTGTAATGCAGCGTTATGACTGAGCATACTTATAGGAATTGTCTATAATGCCATTTGGAAATGTAAATATAACAGAATTGAATGGGGGCGAGTGTTTAACCACCTTTGACGTGGCATTTGTGGTGGGCATAGTAAATATATGCCTACACAAGTATTAATGAAGATAGGACAATGTCGTGATGCTAGAACACGTTCGTTTTATTATGATTTCAATTGAATACATATACAGAAAAATCAAAATGCCAAATATCTGTTCATAATTAAAAGGAAACTAAGATGGTAAAAGAATGATATAAAAATAAAGCTAAGAAATGGCGAAGTGGGGAAACTAAAAAAAAACTCACAGATAAATATTTTTACTTTCTTGATCATTGTCATCAGTGTTTTGTCAATAATTTGTAGAATACGGGCGAGACTTGGATATTGCAGTAAAACGACAGATGAACAGCGATCTAAGTCGACTCATGAGAATACTTCTAACTACAGAACGGGAGGAGGCAGAAGTGAATGTAGCTCAGGCACACAAAGAAGCACAGGTAGGGTAACCGCCCACACTGCTTTTGTTTGCTTTAAACTAGGACATGGTTACAGAAATACAGAAAAATAATCAATTAGTCACTCTGATACTTCGTAGTACTGATGTCTTTTTGTACTGCTAAAATAAGTAATTTCATCAGAGCCAATCAATAAATTGTTACTATAAAACTGCTATCACATTAAATATGAACGAGACAACATTTTAACCAATAAATTTTATGATTCTTTATTATCTGTTGGACACAAATGTACATAGGTAATTGATTGTGAGAGCCATTTATAAATCATAAACGAAACCACACTGGTTTGTAATTTGAAGAATAAACATGTGGTGGCATTATGTAGGTACCATAGACAAAATTAGATTTAAATTAACCACTTACCTTCAAACAGGCAGACAAGTCGTAGATCCTTCTCCTTCTGTTATTAGAGACAGTTAACAGATGAATATCACATTGCTACATCACCACACGACGATTCGAAAGCAACTGTGAAAAACTAAACATCACTACTCACTGCATTATCTGAAATCGAGGAATTCATAATCTCAGAAATTATAACAGAATTGCAATTTTTCGCAAAAAATTAACGAAACATCCATTCTTGTTACCATAAATAGCATTTAACGTTATTTACGAATATGCCGTTTGGTAAAATATTCTAGAAATATTAAAAAAACAAATGACGATCTCCACAGATGACTATTTCTACTAGAGGTCGCACGAGTAGTCGTGGCACCTAAATGCGCGATGTGTGAGCCGAGTTCAGTAGTAATGGGGTCGCACAGCCTCAGCTGCGATGACGCACCGAACTAAACACAGCTAGAGCTACAGACCAACTGAAGCTGACGCCCCTCTAGCGAGTACTTCGAACGGGTCCATTCCTTTGTGCAAGTGCCAGCACTTCTCGCTCGGCCTCTACATAATCACTCTATCAAAATTACATGTAAAGCAATGTCATTCTATAATATAAAATAAATACTAGCATTACTACTTTAGTTAATAGTTGATGGAAATGCAATTGCATATTTTTGTTGTAAGCATATTTTCACTCGAATTTGTTGATTGATTTAGAACGAGAGGGAGGGGGGAACGTGAATTTGCCAGGCCAGCAATACAAATTTTTCGTCTCATAGAAGTAATATTAATAAATGGGCAATGTTAAACCTTATAAAAGAGGAGAAAATTATTTTGTCTTTCAAATACTTAACAATAAAGACATTCCCAATCTAAACATAACCTATCTTAATCTGTTAATCACATCTGTCCATTTGCATAAAATATGTCAGCAGAGGGTCAGAGAAAAGTACAGTAATAGCAAATATTTTAAATTGTTCCTTTTCTAATAAACAATGAAAGGTTGATACTAAAAAAACACTTTTTCACAAAGAACCACTATATGCCCTCTATAATGTACAGCAACAATATTTATCTATACAGATAATGTTCTACTTAAGAAATGGAGGGTCTATGCAGTGACAAAATTTGCATGATCATGATTGCTTGTTGCCAAACCATTCCCATTTTTCCTGAGCATAAGCCATTCAATGCTAAATCATGTGGAAAAACAGATTAATTTCCAACAAGTTTGAATAGTGTAGTTAATTATCAGATTCTGATCGATCTATTATAAAAAGAAACTGCCAGTCTATATTAGATCTATTCATAAGATATGTAATCAATACTCCAAATGTTTTCTACTTCTCAGATGCTGGCACACGCTGGAGTGGGAATGAGATATGGAACAGATGATGCTGTGATTGCTGAACTGTTGCTTAGGCGCAGTTACCCACACCTAAGGGAGATGTTTGCTGAATTCCACACAATTAAGCGGCATCCCATCGAGGACAGCATCCGTCTTGATTTCCGGGGAGGACTGCGTGATGGCTTACTGGCTCTTGGTATGACCAACAAAATTAACACATGCTCACTCTTTTCTATCTTTAACATTCCTAGAATTTGAAAAGGACCATCTGTTTTTTCTCCCCATTTTACAAGCTATTCATTACTAATGCTGCACAGCAAGGACTGAAGACACGTCTCGTATTACTAGTTGTCAAAGGTGGTTAGACACTCGCCCCATTCAATTCTGTTATATGTACATTTCCAAATGGCAAATCTCAGCCAGATTGAATCTGAGTCTCCTAACTTGTGTTTGGGATAGTATAAATAGTCTTCTTTATGTTTCAGTGAAGGCTGTGAATAACCCTGTCGAGTTCTTCACAGACCAAATACGAGCTGCATTCAGAGACCCTGAGCCTAATGATTATCAGCTGATACGGCTTTTTGTAGCTAGATCAGAGGTAATGATACATTTCTGATCTGTTCAGTTAAGGTACTTATTATAAACACAAGGAGAACTGCATTCTGTAAAGAGAGAAAAATCTACATATTGTCTTAATAATGCTGCAAGACAGTGTTAAATGAATACAATATTTGTAAAACAGGGAGGAAGTATATTACAGAACCTGGAATAAATGCTGCAAGACAGTGTTAAATGAATACCATATTTGTAAAACAGAGAGGTAGTATATTACAGAACCTGGAATATTGGTTGAGGAGGACTTATGGTTGTCATACATGCTCAGGTTTTTTTGCAGTTTTAATGCATCAGCCAAAAGTTTAAAATTTTAAGTGAATAGGTACTTATGTACATGTAAGCTGGACAGAACAGCTCAATTTATGGAAGGACTGAAAATATCCATATCAAATGAGGTGATATTATTGGCAGTTTTGAGCGAGACCAAATAACTGGGTGAGGGAGAATTTACACTTCTCATTAGTTATTTTACAACACTGTATCAACTGTATAGATTATGTAGAGTGATTTGAAAAAAGTGTAAGAAGACAGGTATATCTTAGGCACCACCTAAATATATGACTGGAGTGAGAACTCAGGACAGTTGGCTACACTTAATTAAAAACTACTTCATTTTACGCATTGCAAAAACACACGTCAAAAGTCATAACAGCATTACACAATGCAAAGGTACTGTAGGATATACAAATAATGTTTTTAAATTTAATAACTCAGGAATGATCTTCAAGTTATACCATAATATTTAACATTTTTTATGATCTAATTCCATTTACCTTACAGCTGGACCTTGCAGATATAAAAGACCATTATGTCGAGATGCACGACTCGAAGTTGGGGTCCACCGTAACAGAAGAAACACGGGGAGATTATAGGAGGATACTTCTTAGGTTGCTTGGTTACTGAATCTGATAAATTTACCTGCCAGAGTGGAAGAAAGGTTTCATTGCAAATGATGCCATTATTAACATCAAGATTCTGCTATCAACTTCTTTGGGTTTCTTGAATCCTGAAATTCTTATGGCGTCAGTTCTGTTTAGCTGAATGAAAAACCTCTCCTATGTTTCAAAATGAAAGACTGCATTTTCTTTCCCTGATAAGTTCAAAACGTGTATGCATTTAGTGACATTTCCTGAAACAAATATTACATATAATGCATATGATATTAAACCATTATCTTGAAAGCTGGAAAACTGCCAACTGAATTACACCTTTTGCTGTAGAGTAAAGGTTTTACAAACACACCTGGAAAAAGTAAACTAAGCCAACAGCTTTAAAATAAAAACAGCAACTGTAATAAACAGTATTGAATCTGAAAAACAGTACTGGCAAAGACAACAAGGAGGCAGTATGACCTCCGAAACGTTGGTTAACATCGACCAGACTACACGGCGCAACAACCCAGAAGACAGAAATCATCATACGCACCGCTGTGAAACCTCAAATCTTACAAGTCTTTTTGACATTACTTACAACAGCAGAATGACAACAAAATCAGTTCTCAACTTCAGTATAAAAATTATCTGTCAACATCTTATTCTACAGTTTGCATTCAGATGGATAATACAGCTTACAGGTTCAAAAGTTGACATATGTGGTTTTAAGTGTTCTGAAAAGTATAAAAAATAATACAATTAATAAAACATGTTAGGAAATGTATGCATATCATATGAGTTCTGCAATGTTGCCAGAATCTGACCTATGTGAGAATTTCCCAACCAGTTGCTTTGGAGTGCAGAAAGGGTTGCAAGTATTCACATACAGCACCTGTTATTTTATCAAAATTGGAATATGTTGACAAATTTTAATAAAAACTCTAAACAAATGTAATAAAAATCCAATGAGCCTTTTGTTAGTTGTTTTATGCATACAGCTGTACAGAGCAAATTTAATAGACACTCTGCACAGATGTGGCATACCTAAAAATGATGAAATCATTCCTCTCGACAGCTTCAATATTACTACATAAAAAGTATTTCTTAACATTTTCCAGTGGCAAAAATGACAAATTTAAACACAAAGATGAGTATAATATAAAGGAACATATTATATAAAACAAAAAGGTATATTTATAAATAAAACAGATTGGGGAGGTGGGAGAGTACTTAACAAAGCAAGGACCTATAGATATAAAGAACATTCATATTCATTCTCTGAATAAATGATATTCTTTCATCAGTAAATCTATTGGCTCTTGCTGATTTACTTACACAGGCAGCTTGGCAGAGCTGGGACAAGGATAAAGCAGCTGAGCAACCCAAACTTTTACACGTAATATTAAAAACAGGGAATGCAAATAGGAAAAAGCTCTGATTAATGTCTGATAATACATGTATATAAATGTTATTAAATTCACATCATGTTTTTTCAGCCTGTAACATTAAAATTTTCTACTCGGACACAAACATACCTTGTCCCAGCGCTGAAGGTTAGCCATTTTTATTGGTTGTCTTTTGATATTACAATGATTAGTAAAATGTAAAAATTATGTACATAATATCAACAAATTTGTATATTATATATATCATACAATATTTTACAGACATAAATCAGTATATATACCTTTCATTCTTTACAGCAATAGTATAAAAATAGAGCTACAGTATAACAATAGTAAAGTCAATCTTATATCATGAGAAATATGTTAGAATATATTTGAAGGTGTTACTAATAAAGTATGTAACAGTTTTCTATTTTCTTGGATGTACTTTTATAGGTCCAGTTAATGTTGTGACAAAGCTTGTCCTAGTTATGCTAGAGGACAACAGTAAATGCAACTGGGCCCATACTGCCAGAAAACCAAGATACCAATTTACATGATTACATACCGACGAATGTTTACAATATGCAACATGTTGGTAATTTAACGTGTACTTAATATAGCATAAACTCAAGACTTTTAAATCACTAATAAATTAACTTATAAGTAAATTGCTAGGATTCAGATTCAAGCCACCCAGCCATTTTACCGACAGCATAATGTTAAAATGCATCGTACAGAAACAGCTGTGAAAATGCAAACTGGATTGATCTAGATAGCTAAATGTGTGTCCAATGGAGGGATTTTGTGATAACAGTGATGAACATTTAGATTCCATAAGAGGTAATTTCTTAACCCAGGTTTAACACCCCCATATCACTAGACTACTGCCAGATTTTAACTCTAAGATATAATGATTTAGTGGTATACTACCATACTGAATGGTAAATAATAATTTATGAGCAAAGTAACTAAGCAAGATTCTGTCATTAGTTATGTTCTGCTACCCCATGCTTAAACATTTTCTTGTTTCAAGTAAAGGATGTACTTTCTACTAATGTCTGTATGTTATGTGGCTTATTTTAGTTTATTTCTTTTTTTGCATGGCACTTTCTGACAAACTCAATAAAACTGCATTTGAATGTCACATAAAGTAGGGGTCACATTGGACCAATATTAACTAAAATTAAATACAACTGACAAATTTAGTGTAGATTCCAACCAATTCCCAAGTTTAGTGAAAATCCATTCAGTAGTTCTGGGTGTCAACATGTGATCATATAGGCATGAGCTCGCCATTATAAATTTATGTTAATTTTATTTACTTTGTGGAAAAAATACATAAACAAGTCATGAAAACCTGGAATATTACCCAATAATGTTCTAACATAAAATGAAACATGTCAGAATCAACACATGCTATACAAAAGCTTAGCAATTTCTGATATTTATTATTGGACAACATATTAGTGTCCTTGTATTTTAATAGTTTCCCTTCTTTTCACACAGACCTAGCATAAATTATATACATAGTACATGCAACATAATTTGTCACACACTTGGAATGAAATACATGTCTATGTCAGATATAATGAGAGATTCTGGACATTAAATTACAGATTCTGTAAAACTTCCTCCTAGTCTGGGATACCACAGTATATACAGATTATATAAAGACAAGGTCCCGTACGTGTACCATTTTTAAATCTTAGCAACTACACCGCCACAGAGGAAAAGGAATGTTTAGTGTCCCTAACAACCAATTCAGTCAATTCTCAATTTTACAAAGTCCCTCAGAAATAATGATTAAAACATTCACATTTTGAAGTACAAATTACAGGAAAATCAAAGCACCAACTTAATTTATACATATGCATATCAATGTTCTTTCCAGCAGCACTTAAATTAAATAATAGGAATCAATTACAAAGAATAAACAAGTCTTAAATATATATCTATAACATGATTTAACCAAATACAGTAAATTCTTGAATATCCACATGTACATGATTCTCAGTCACAACCATTACACACCCTTGACAAGAACACTCCAGTTTCAGACTCTTCAAATTCTTTCCTCCAGCCATTAAAAGCAATATTTCTGATCACTGTATTTCTGGCCTTCCTATGTTCTCCTATTGTATGTTATATTTAAGTTCTGCACATTGTTCTTTTAATTTAACTGAAGTTTGTAACTCAGGAACCTTATATTTCATGTGCTTGGTTGAAACAGAAGTTTTATTATACAAAGCAGGACAAAAATATTTTCAACTATAAAGAATAAGCCTCAGACATGATGGCCAATATCTGAGCCAAGAACTGAACCCAGTACTTCCCTGATACAAATCAAGAAGATACCTCACTGGTAAAGAATGCTTTTTTTTGGTACAAGCACCACTGATCTTCATTTACAATTCCTTCATCTTTTCTTTGAGCTGTTTGTGTAATGGGCATTACTTACGGTTGGTCACATGAAATGCCTATGAACTACGCCATGATCTGAGTCACTGATTTTAAATTAGTCATATTCTTTTGGCCATTTAAATATGTTTTCTTAGCCAGGTTTTTTGTCAATGATTTTAACCTTCAGTTTACATACTGCATATATGGTTTCACAATATATTTATATAGTTTTATGTTTTACTGCAATTTTACATTAACATGTCCTCTGCCAATGACAATTTCTGATAAGTATGCCATGATTCAATTTATCCAGTGCGCAACAGCTAGTTTTTATTGCGTGTAATACGTACAAATGTTATAAGAATGCACAACCATGTGACATAATGAATTTTCAAGACCTCTCACCTGCTCTCTGTTTTGGGAACACACATCCGACTGCTAGTCTTATTAAATTTTTATAAAACAGCACACAATTCTTGCAAAGCCATTGACATTATGATGGTTCGAACTGTTTAACTAGGCAATACTAATTTTCAACCAATAATAAGTGTGAGACTTATTTACCAATTCATATCGCTCATTACACCAGTCTCTAATGATGAAAAATTAGAGTATATTTAACATACCGAAGTCACTGATGGTCAGAAAACATAACTGCAAGTACTAGTACCTTTTGTTCATTTCTGTCCTTTGAATTAAAAATAGAAAGACAGAATTCTCATCAACTGCCTTTATCTGAGACCTATCTGTGTCAGGTCAGACATGAAGCTTCAACTCGTGATCAATGCTACAATAATGTGCTGCCTGATAAGGGCTATCATACAAATTGTGGGGTAGTGATATGAGTATGGAACAATGGTGGAATGATATTAGCAGAGATAAATTAAAGAACTCAGAGAAAATGTTGTTTCAGTACTTCATCCACCATGGATCTCACTTCAAGTCACTTGAAATTGAGTCTCCATGACAAGTCAAGTGTCCAGTAAGATACGGAATGGTCAGAGCAGACAGAAAAATAAATGTAATTCAACGCTCAAAGAATTATTAAGTTTTCACTAGAATTTGGAGTTATATCTGTGTTAAAACTGATATCTGATGGGCAGGAAGCTGAGAACCAGTTTGGATATGAGAATGGTATGATAAGGAAGGAACTGAGGAGCTCAAGTAATTAATGCCACAACAGCAAGAGACACACCCACACAGGGATTGATAAATGTGGATGCTTGTTTTCTTGGGATGAGCTGATTTTGCAGTTCATTAACAGAAATTCACAATAATCCTTTATATTAACAAGTCATAACAGACATTTCTCTGTAGGTCTGAGAAAATAAAATGAATTAAAAATGTATACTTCAATTTAAGCAGGAACCTGAGATTCTAGTGCACACAGTGGGAACAAAATGTTGCTTCAATAACAGCACCTACCCCTACAGAATGTCAAAGCACAAATTCAATGGACAAAAAAAAAAAAATAATTACGATATTCTGTCTTGATGTTCAAGGAATGTTTAATCCTAAGTGAATATATCCTTTGTTATAACTACTATATTTACTTCTAATTAGTGTACTTTGTCTTGGTTTGATTATTTAAAATGACTAGCTAGTTGTTTATTATGAAGCACACTATTGTAGCAATACATGTCCAATTCTATGTATAAACCTGTGTGCTCCTATTAGACTAAAATCATATAAAATACCTATTAATATTAAATGCTTTTTGAAATTTCATTTCATTTTAATCCATGCACAGCTTATGGAATGCAATTTCGAATACATGGTTGTAAGATGAAAAAATGCAGGAATGTGGGCTTGATCCACTAAATGTAAATATTATTGAACTTTCATTTTAACCCAATGAAGCATTATGTTTGTCTGAATAGTATTTAAACATTCAGTTCCTACTCCAAAGAGAACACAACACATCTCCATTATAGAGATAAACAGAAAATCCATGTGTGTTCAAAATACAGAGTTACTGACTGTTAAAAGTAAGTCTACATATTGTTACCATCATGTGTTAAAGGGATAAAATCACCTTTCTGAGGCAAGTCTTAACAATTAAAACAATATGCACAGTCAACAATCATATTTTCACACATTTGTGAAAACGTGATGAATGTAAGTACTTGGAATTTCCACATTATAGACACAGTTGCCACATCTTTAGTTTTGAGCTCAAGTCTCTTGAAACTGAATTTTGCCTCAAGAAAGATTACGTCAAAATTGGAGAATGTCTAAATTTTCATCTTATGTTTTATTTGCTGATGACAATCTAATATACCAAATTTAAAATATTTATATTGCAGTTGAATTTTTTAAAATTATAAACAACTATACCTTAATTATGACGTGTTAAAAAAATCTCATCTACGTACTTCTGAATGAAGCTTTGTATATCTCTAGGTCTCCAAAGCCTCATAATTGTGTATGAAGGTGATTTTCCTCTATGCTTACTGTAAATGCAAATTAATATGCCACAACAGTGAAAATTTAATGATAATGGGGTCTAACACATTTATAGAACTACACTTACTTTTTCTTAAAACGTTACTTTCTCCATTTCTCAAAACCCATACTGAAAAACTGTCACATAAAGAAAGCACTGGAGAGACCAAGACCTAGATGAAGAAACTAAATGACAGAAGATATGCAAAAGAGATTAGGGAAAGCATGGGAACATAACAAGACGACTGTGGAAGGATATAGAAGGATTTGCCACAAAACATTCCATTCTCGTGAAAACATCATTCTGAATGGAGCGTGACCAAAGAAAAGTTGCCTACAAATGTTCACTGATAAAATAGGGATATGAAGTGGTTTGTATATCTGGGCATTCTCGGAGACCTGATCTACGTTTTCATAACATACCTAAGTACTTCAAATAACAAAATATGTACTGCATTTACTTGCCATTCCATTGTTGTAATTGTCCTTCGCTAAATTTTAAACACCTCGTTGGCATGGCTACTGATGGAAAACTTCCACGTTTGCTCGATGTCGCATCGACTTCTTCAGGGAGAACAGGCAGGTCCTGCAATCATCATTAATATATGTTAATCCTGTAAGAATGGGGTGGGGGGTAATATTAAAATGGATCTTAGAAAAGCAGAGTGTGAAATGGATTTAAGTAGCTCCGATGATGGACTTTTGTGAATACAATGATAAAGTACGGAAAATCTTGTCCAGATGATAACTTTTCAAGGGAGACCCAAACCATTCTTTTAGTCTGAAACTCCCTCGACGTGAATAAAAATGTTTTATGCCCCTGAAAAAATGACTCAAAATACTTGGTAATGTCAAAAAATAATTACTAATTAACTTGAAAGATATCTACAAAATACATTTTCTATTAAATGTTAAGTTTAAAATTTAAGGTGGCTTATTAAACTACACACAAACTTCCTTCAGCAGTAGCCACTTCGAGTGGGACCACAAAGTAATCTGCATGGGCAAACTATGTCATCATTGGAGTGAGCAAGGAGGGAGGGGCATAACGATCGTGAATCATATTCCACTTCCAAGAAAATGAGTAATTTTCTCACATATAATTCTGGCATAAAAAAATACACTCAAATCAATCACCTGGTTACGTGCAATGAAGTCCAGCAACCGAAGGCAAAGTCTCCGGCTGGATGTTGTAAGTTTCTCAAGACTTTCTCTCCTCCACAGCTCTGTGGAGACAATGGCTTCACATATCTGTGAGTTGGCTTCTGCATCAAACAGCGGTACACCAAAGCAGCAGTCTAGTAGTGTCCATTCATCCTGTTCAGCTTTCAACCCTCTATCAACTCCTAACATTTTAGATTCCCTTGCTCCAACCTCAGCATCAATTTTTGCTTTTCTATCGCTATCACTTTTATCAGAGTTTTCAATATGCACATATTGAGGCTGTTCCAATTTAGGGGACTGTTCACCACATAAGTTATCCAGTTCTTGTTCTAAAATATCTGCACATTCCTCACTTGTAAAACCATTCACTGGACTGCTTGATGTTTTGGCACCACCAAGTGGACTGCTGTTAGCAGCGACCCAAGCTTCCACAAGACTGGTTTGTCTCTCATTCTGCTGAGTGGACGTTGCTGTGTTAGCTTCAGTAGGCAGACCAACAATGTTTAGGCCATTATTACAAGTGGTGTTTAGGTTCACCATAGTGATAAATCCACAATTGTGAACCAGGTCTATATTATCTGACAATTTAAGGACTGCAGGATGGGAACTCCAGTCTAATTTCTGCTTGCCATTACCTGGTGACAGAGGTAAGAGTTATTAGTATTGTTCCTTGGCTTATTTAAAAATTATTTTTCAAGTACAAAGGTTACACAGTGTTGAATGGAAAGATGATTGTATTATAAAGTAGCTAGGTTATTGAAGTTATGTACCATTTTTAAAGTACAGGTAGCCCTCAATTTACGCCGGGGATGCGTTCCTGGACGAACTGGCATAAATTGAAACTCTTTTATAATGTAAATCAATGGGAGGTCAATGACATGCGTTCCCAGCACCCAAACATTGACGAGTAATATAATGGCATTACATTTAATGCTCTGAAATAACGTAAATAAAATAAAGGGAATTTAAATAAATATATTTTATACACTTACAATCAGCAATTCGTTGGTCCCTGCAATTGACTGCGATTCTTTCACGTGATTGATGTGTACAGTCATCTCAGCTGTTATGCGATAGCTGCATTAATGTAAGACGCTGACCTATATAAAATCACGTAGTAAAAATATCCCCGGTACCTCCGCAGAGATTAAATTATTTCTTTGAAAGTTTAAAGTGCCAGGAATGAAATTGCATAAGAGGAAACTTGCATATGCAAAGGTTTGCATTTCACAAACAGCTTTTACTGATTCATCGATCTCATTGGAGCAAATTTGCGTTAACAAAACATACGTAATTGCAGAGATGACTGTATTTATAATTTTTATTAAAAATCAGCGATGTAAGAATTACGATTTATTATAAGAATCAGTACGATATACATTCTTAAACGGTATAAATAATAGTATTTTTTTTAACTTTTTGACTTGCTGGTTTCAAAATCGGCGTTATTCTGAATCAGCGCAAATCGAGGGCTACCTCCTGTACTATCCACAGGCCGGTGCCACAAAAAGTGAAAGTATGTTTCTTCCCACCAATCCCTGATAACTTATGAACAAATCAGCAAGACTTCATGAAATCAATTATACAAATCATGTCACAGAGACTATCCAGCTATCATATGGTAACTTCAATTCATCGCTCAGTCCGTAACATGATGAACTGAACAATCAAGAGTTTTATTTGTGGGAAAATAATGGAATTTCAACCATCACTCATACATAATGGTACTGGAAGACCCCAAACTTCCCTTCTTATTGATAATGGGGATTCTTTCCTCACAGTTAAGATAGCCAAATTGTACAGCTAATCACCTATGTTAATCCTCACCTCAGGTCAAATTCATGTTCTATGTCTAATGAGAAACAAATTTACCTTTTGTACAGTGGGTCTTCCCAGATGAAGGGAATGGAATTAGACATGTTTCTGCCCCACGATTTACACCATAAGCCTGTAACATATTGCAGCACTGTTTAAGACACATTTAATTTTTCCAAGGCCATGTTATAGCAAGACAGATACATTATCAAACCTACCTCCAAAATCTTACAGTTGTATTACACATACCTGGACAAGAACTGCAGAGTGGCAAAGTGCATCATTGAGCGTGAATATTATGTTTGACACAGGAAGCACCCCTGGGTCATGTCCCCAAGTTGTGACCAGAAGCTTGTCATAGTTGAGAAATATCTGAGGCAGTTTCTTCACTCGGGTTCCTACCACAACACTTCATTAGTACCAACAACATTTGTGCAAAGTTACATTTACCTCAATCCAGACTGAACTCCACTTATCATGTTGGCTCCCATGAGGGACAATGGTGGGTCACAGGACTACATAGTTTATTAAAGGCTCAGTCTTCATGGAGTAAAATATCTCTACCACCGCAGCTGAGACAAAAGAGGTGGATGCCGGTGGAGTGTCACATGGTTTGTACAAAAACATTTCTGAAGTTCTGAATGTTTTTACTAGCGTAGGGTGAGCCATGCAAAAATCCCCTGGGAGCCAACATGTGATACACCACGCAGTCTGCAGTGTGAAGTCCAAACTGCTGGTAGTTTATCTGATATGTTTCATTTTATCGACAAAAAAACATTTTGAATACAGCACAGCAGATAAACACAAAGACCTGGGAGCACAGAACATGAAATGGAATATGTGCTGTGAAGTCCACATGAGATAAATCACACCTTATGAGCAATATTTCTACCATACACACAACACACTGAAACTAAACAGTAATAGTTGATTACTACAATGTATCTACTGCAATCTGATATAATTTTTCCATCAGTCTCTGAAAACACCATGAAAACCAATTCATCTACAAAAAAAGAGCAATGTTCCCTGATTATAATGGTGGGGGGGGTTGCAATCTGTTATATATGGAACACATACCTTTAGAAAGTAACAATGATGGTGGGCCATAGCCAGTAAGATGGTAGATAAAGAGTTTGAACCAAACAGTGTTCACTTCAGGCACAGCTGGACCTAGATGTGGAGGCATGCAACTGCTAATTGGCCGGATCTCTTTACTGAGGGGAGCCATCGATACCAGTAACCTGTAATAAGTAAATATGATCCAGTTTTAAAGGAAGATAGGTATGAAACTATCAGAAAAGATGGCATATCTATTAACCTCATTAGGATTTACATTTGAATAAACGAAAGTAGAAAGATGTACTCCATTGGAATACATATATATCTACAAATTCTTTATTATTGTGTATCTCATTAACATTTATGCTCATTTACTGTACAAAAGATACCCCTCTGCAAAGCTATTCACAGTGCAGCTCTCACACTGTGCAGTCAAAAATATTCTTCCTTGTTTGTTAAATATTCACCATGTCAAAATAAATGATAAAAGTTGAAATTCTTAATGAGACCCACTTTTACGTCTTGTAAATAATTTTTTTAGAAAACCAATAAGTGTTACATGAGTTTTAACATAAAGTAGAGATTATATTTATTTAAAGACAATGTTATTATGTCAGACTAGATAACAATGAATAATAAGATGATTAAAAAAAATGGAAAGGATATGGAAGGAAGCATCTGTGGCAATATCCCAGAATTTGCCTGAAATGACTAAGGAAACCATGACAGAATCAGGATAGCTTGTCTCTTGGCAAAGAAATGATCCCAGGGATATACTGTAATACTGATATGAAACAGGCATGCAAACCACTTGCCAAAAACATTTAGAGCACTTACGGTACAACAATATAAACCAAAACTGAATTTGCCACACAACTCTCCAGCATAAAATTCAGTGGTTTTGGCAATGAAACATACAGATGGATTTGAATTCTCCATTATGCACTCCACTCAAAAGAACATATATTAATTGAGAAAGAAACATATAATGTTGTGCACTCACATGTAGTTCTTGTTGAGCAGCCGAGAGCACGTGGCAGGATCGAGTGACTGAAGACTCTCACAGCGAATCAAATCAAGTGCCAGGTTAAGATCTTCTCCCATGGCACGATTATGACGCAGGAATAAGATTGTGGAACGAAGAATAAGTGCATGGTCAAAGTAACGCTGCGCCTCTCCTTCACTGTCAGCAGTCGAGATCTTCTCCAGTTCAGCCAAAAAGCTGTCTAAAGATTCATCTGATAACTTTCCAACTTCAAACATTGTTACAGCATGATTTTTCAATCCCTAGAGACACAAACCAAGATAACATCTGTTGGTAATTAAGTACCTAAGCACAAATTTCATCCCTAGAAACAGTATACTAGTCTAGGATTTAAACAGAATGGCAAGTGACTGACACACCAGCATGAGTTAAACCAATCGGCAATAGGCAGTCTTCAGTACCCATACCATCCAGTTTCTTTAGCTCCTTCTGTAAGTTAATACTGTGAATTATTTTTGTGAATGCTGACTCAAGTGGAGAAGTCAGATACTCCTGTCAAGTTGTCCAACAAATAATGAGCAAGTTCATTTTGTGTCTGTCTGTCTGTGCTGTCTATATATGTCACTGTATAATTTTCTTTGTAGAAATAAAGTGTTTCAAGCAGTTGTTTAATTTTTGTGAGATTTTATTCTATATTTAAAAATGAAGATAAAAAGCTAAGTATCAGACTTTGCACAGGCAGCCTAAAATTTAGTTTTTAAAGTGCTCAATCAAACAAGAGATGAAGAACAGTGGGCCAGTGCACGGTGTCACCATGTTTCAAGAACAAGCTGTTCGTGTCCATCACTACAATTAATTGTGGTCAAGTTCAATATTCATATCCCTCAGAGCAACAAACAACCACTGTCATAACTACACAATATGTTATAAACCTGAACCATTTTGTTGCAGAAGTATGACTTCAATTAATAATGTCTTCTCAGGCTATCAGCCGTGTTAGATGTCGATTAATCACCGACGTTTCGAGGACCATCTCTGTCCTCATTTTCAAGGCTGTTGTTGACTGTGCCTTGAAAATGAGGGCAGAGATGGTCCTCGAAACGTCGGCGATTAATCAACATCTAACACAGCTGATAGCCCGAGAAGACTTTAATGAAAGCCGCCGTGAAAGCTTCACATCATATATGTCTTCAATGTTTTGAGCTACTCATATCCCTACAAAAACATATACTATTCTTTATACAACAAACATGTAACAAAGTAAAATATAACCAGAACAGCAAACACAACAAAAGCTGAAAAGAAGGTGAATAAAACATTTCATGAACCAGAAGAATAATTAAATTAATTACAATATAAGGAGTAATACTTACAGGAGACAAGTTGCCCATCATAAGAAATGCTGTAAGAGTCGAATCAAATAAGAAAGCTATTCGCCTACTGCGTGGTTGGCTGGACAGGAAGGTGGGTTCGACTTCTTCTGTACCACTTGAAATTTCTTCTGGTGGTGTAATTCCAGCTTCAATCAATGCAGAGTTTAACTCCAGTAACAGTGGTTCTTCTGTTGTAGACATTGCTCTACTGTAAAGACAACACATAACAAGAGTCTTTTTAATACATGTTTACTGCCTTCGGGGTCCGCAGTGGCCGCGTGGTCTGAGGCGTGGGCCTTGTGCCGCTTGGTCACTGTGACCGTGGGTTCGAAACCCACTCAAGCCATGGATGTCTGTCTGCGTTTTTCTGTGTTGTGCTGTCCTGTGTACAGGTAGAGGCCTTGTGATGGGCCGATCCCTCGTCCAAGGAGTCCTACCAAATGTCTATAGATCGAGACAACGAAAAGTTGGGATCCACAGTACTCAGGTACTCAAAGAACGGGTCGTTCCCAGTATCCCAGTACTGCCTTCTTAGTGAAGTAAGAAATGATGAAACAACACAAAGGGAAAACAGAGATGCAACTTAGGCTTGTAAGATTAGAGGATGTCTCAAAACTTAAATGTGTGCTGTTCATGTGATTAGCTTGAGGTGAGTACTGTATCTGTATGGCAAATATATTGCCTGGAAAAAGTTCCTCTACACTGAAGGACTATTGCTGCATGATAATAAATAGATCATTATAAATGCTGGATAGACTGTAAAATCAAATATAAAAATTGTCACAAAATATACTTACTTCCTTGCAGGATTTAATACATTCCTCCACGTGGGATTAAGGTCTGCACATTCAGAATCATGGCTTTTTTTGCGAGCAAAGCCAAGTCGGCAGTACAAGGACACTGCATTCTTTACAGCCTGAGCATCGATTTGGAGTACATTTGCCAACTATAAACAAATATCATTATTAGGCATACTTTTACAGATCAAACAGAGATAAGTGTGTCAACCTACAATCCTGAATCAGCATAGTCTCTGTGAACAGATCTCAAATAAATACATTCTAGAATAAATATACTCTTGACTGACTCATTGATTCTTGGGCTACTTAACGACACTTTTCGTAATGAGTTATGTGGCATCAACTGTGGTATTAAAAAGTGCAGCAGAGAAGCTCACCTCACCCACAGACGTGTGTTCATCAATGGACACAAAAATCTTGTACAGCAATGTCTCAAAGTAGTCACCTAGAACTCGATTCATAACAAAGCCTTCTAATGGTGGTAGTACTATGTAGTCATCATCCTCTATCGGTACATCTAGGTAGATAAGACCTTTCCTGTAATAAAATTGACAGGTTTAAATAATATAAATACAAGTAGCTACGATATAAGTCAGATGTGTCACTGAAAATACCTTATATTTTGCCATTATTTTCAGTTTTTGAGATACTACCAAAAGTTTCCAATTTGCATATATGACACAAGTCACTTCCTGGCTCACAGCTCAAATGGCAATACTCATCACCAAGCACTACAAGGTTTTCCTGATGCAAGTCAAGTATTGCGCTATAAAACAACTAAATCAACTTACTTTTTATAGCAGTTTCTGCCAGCAGCTAGAATGTGACGGTTGTATTCAAATGTGAATATAAACTACGTATGAAACATTCAGAACAAACCTGGTTCAGGACAACTGCCAGAGATCAAAGTTTAACAGAACTTCCCTGTACGCAATTACTAAGACATAAAAGTTCAATAAACACCCACCTGTTAGCAATTATGATAAGGGTTTAATATAAACCTACCTGAGTACAATTTCCATTGATGAAGGATCAACAGAATCCCATCTGAGGGTGAATACTGGGGATCAAAGTTTAACAAAAACCTACTCAAAGCACAGTCACAAGCTTGCAGCAGTCACAGAACATACTAAGGTCTAGCGGCAAGGTAGCAGAACAGCGCTCACAAATGAAACACAACTAGAAAACATGTGACTTAGCCGATGCTGTTTCAAGGTGGATAGTGCCGAGTGCTGATAGAACAGATCACAAAATTGCGGTAGCAATTGCTGTTTCAAGGTGGATAGTGCCGAGTCCTGATAGAACGGATCACAAAATTGCGGTAGCAAAATAAGTTATTACTGTTATAAAATATATACAGAATACTAACAAATATACTAACTTGTACAAACTGTGAACCAAGTTGTAATCCAGATCACCAGCTTTCTGACATCCATGATCAATAATTCTATCAATTAATTCTTTTTCTGATTGAGAAATCAGCTGAAAATAAGAAAAAATATATAAACAAATGCAGGACTGTTTCTAGTATATCAGTCAGGATTACATATTGTATATATCACATTTACTGTCAGCTATTAACATGATCTGTCTGTATACATACAAAAATTACATAACAACCACAGATCTATAAGAAGTATATATTGATTTAATGGGAATAAGATATTATTCAAGCAACTAATATGTGAGCTGTGATAACAGCAAGTAAAATGTTAAAGTAGGAACTAAGTTGTGGAGTTCAATTACCAGAAAATTAATTGGGATTTTTTTTGTTCATCTCTCTGGGAGCCACCCAGCATCTTATCCAATGGGTAAATTTAAGAATGAGATAATGCAGTGGAACCATAGAAAATGAATGCTAAGTAAGAAAATCTTAAAAAGAGGAACATCGAGTGAGAATTCCATTTTATGGGGCATGATGCAGCTATTGCTTATTTCGTACAGGAACTGTAGACAAACCTTAATCCAAACAGATTGCCATGTATGAGACCTGAAAAGGGCTTGAATACTAGGAACACATGCCACTGCTATACTAGAGAGCTTTATTTCACCACAGGAAATAGTACTACATAAATATGCAAATAAACGAAGAAAATTTTGTTTTAAAAACTCATAATTGAAAATGATTAATGTACTGAATGCCCACAATTGCCTAAACAAACATTATTCAACTGATATGAAAAACAGAGGATATAAAACAACGTAAGAAAAATACAGAAAAACGTGAAGCCAAAGCTGATATTGTAAAGAATACCTGATATCATAACTATAATTAATATACTATATGCACCTTGATATCTTCCTCGATTACACATCCCACTTCAACATTCCACCAAGGTTCTACATTAATCCCTGCTGGCTTTGGTGGGAGGAGGTCCCTCACATTCTTTCGCCGAAAGAGTTTGCGACCAGAGCGACACTGATTCATTAAGTCTATATATTCATTGCGACCAATATCCAACAACCTCAGACCTGAAATCCACAAAATTCAAGTCTTAGTTCTAAATCATAATCATTATTTGATTTCCTGTTTTCTGATAAGTAAGAACAGTAGCATTCAAAAGGAAAGAACTTACAAGAAAACTAAACCTTCAGTGTACCAGTTAAAATACCAGTGGTGTTAGGTGATGGTCTGCACTTGAATAAATGTTCAGAGTGCAGAATATCATAAAATACAGTGTAATTATAATAAAAGAAACCTTCTGACAATCATAGAAGCCTCTAGAAACATTTTAGATAGACATGGTGAACAAATTTATTTCCTACAAATATAAAAATGTTTATATCATTGTATTACATCCCAATGTATGATCAGCATGTCATTAGCAAGACCTGCTGGACCAATAATTTAAAGACCAGCACATGGTTAGTAATAATAAAGGTTAATATAAATGATAAAATCAACCTACAATCGGCAGCGGTAAAGTTTGGCAGTGAGTCATAGCTTTTCTCCTGCTCCATTATATTCTCCATCATCGAGATATAATACTGAAATGGTGTCACACGAAGACCCTTAACCACCACATCAGATAAGTGGTAAGGATACAACATAAGATTTTCTCTGCTGTAACTCAGTAGGTCTTCATAGTATCGCCGTTCATCCTTGCGAACAAATCTTACAAGATTTCCACGGTATCGCAGCTGATTCTTTATGCTGAAGTTCACAATACATTTTTCGTACTCCTTTTGTGAATTACCTAAACTCTGAAACAGATCAAATAACAACTTCAGCCTCTTTGTGTAAACAATCATATTTTCCACCAAACCAGAGGAAAAATCCAATTTGTATTTACATGTACTAAGACTCGATATAAATATACCATAAAAAAGGAACTTAACCTACTCACAGTCAACACTTTCACTGCTGTGAGAATCTTAAATCTCATAGCCTACAGTAAGCTAACCTAACTTTGCAACTTGACTCTTTCTTGCAGAAATACAAATATAAGAAAATAATTTATCATTATCAACATGATTATATACATATCAGTAAATAACATAACTATGTTAATGCACTGTGCAAGCGTGCGTATCTACAAAAACGAATATCCCAGAGAAAGCCAGAAAAATATCACTATTTCCTTCCTTTATAAGGTGACCCATCCATCAGTCAGCACTGTATTTGAGATATTCTGAGTACAGAAACAAATGTTACATTTACGGCCACCTTCCGCTTAAACTCCAATATTACTGGAGGACACCGTGGATGTAATGGGGTTTCATTATAGTGCTTGGTCTGACAACCGAGACAATGCTTGTCTTGAAATGGCCACAGTTTCAACAACACTACATACCTGTTTGACAGTCACCGGTAGTTTTACCCATTGATAATTTTGTCGAATGTGAAATTCCACTTCACCATTCATTTTACTCAGATATGGATTTTAAATATATGATATAAATTAGAAATTTCAGCTTCTTCCACCACCTGTCTTACAATTATTCCACCATGTTCTCTAATCGAGACAGGATATTCGATAACATCCATAGAGTACAGTCGTGAGTAAAATAATTGAAATTCAATAATTTCTCAGATGATTCAAACTTCTGGTCACAAAATTAGGCCGATAAATGACTTGTTTGGGCTATAAGATTGTAACCGTCTCGTTTCTATCATTGGAATGTGACGGTAACTATCTCTGTGGTCAGCCGTTTAAGATATTAACTTCAATTGAACAACTAGGACTTGTCTCGCTGATTAACACCAGATGGATGTAAGAGAATTTCCATATGGATTAAACATGATATTAATATGTTACTCAAAGAAAAGCAATGTCGAATACCATTCAAAATTTGACAAAATCGTTAATAAAGTGCCCTCATCTATTTCATTGAAATATCTGAAAAAGAGTTTGAGAACCCCTGACCTACAGGCTGGTAGTCTATTGTTCGCCCAGAAATCAGTCTTCTGACGAGTCTGTGATTACGGAGTTATTTTGTGTGCCTAAAATATTTAATTCATTATTAAAATTGAACCAGCTGAGTGATGAGATCCTGGCATCTGCAGTGCATAACTCGTACTAGGTGTCGTGTCTCTTATTTTGCTGCTGTACAAGTAGTTTTTAATCTGCAGTAGTAGATGGCAGCTGTATACAAGAGTTTTGTTTACGTTTGTAGGCAATACAACTGGTGATATATATGTGGGGTAAGAGGCAATGAATTTTGACGGAGTGCTGCATTGTGGGATGATGTCTTCATCTTCTTCAGCTCTAGTAATGTTTTCTTCGTCAGATGTTCCCACACAAGGTCAAATCATAGTACAAGGAACTGGGTCAATGGGTCTTTGTGCAGTCCCATCCTACTTACTCATGGTAATGAATGAATAGGGCCTTGTGGTCCTACCCCACAGACTCAGGGTGAAGATTAATGACTGAGGCAACAGCTAACATCTTGGCCAGCACCTCCACATAAACCCATAGACCCATGTTGAGCAATAATGAAGGAACCCCAGTGTTTTGGCTAGCTCCACTTCAGCGACCCAAGGCAGTCACAATGACCATAGCTTCCTTTTCCATAAATTATGGGTCTGGCTATCAAGTTATCCCCAACATTGATGTATCCTTGTTACCTTCTCCCGAATCTGTCACTTACATATAAATATCTCTGTTTCTCCATTTCATTTACCCTCCTTCTGTCGTATCCTCTCCTTGGTATGTCCATTGTAAATGTTAACTCCAGTGTCACAGTACAGTCAGCACAGCTCCATTTACAGAGTTTAAATCCCCTGTTACTGTATGAAAAAAGGTTAAACTGATCTTCAAAAACTGTCAGCAGTATTTGCTTCTTTTAATCTGAACTTTCAAAACGGGTGCACGTACTGTTTGAAAGTGCATTAAATTCAAGAATAGGCATTTTATGAAGAAAAAGTGATAGTGGTTCCGGAGAATTTGACGTAAATACGTCTATACGGAAAGGAAGTTTATATATTGGCTTTATTCTAAATATTTCCTTTATACCCGTTTTACAATTGAGTAAAGTTCGATTAAGACTTTGCTTATTTAACTCGAATTAGTTACGCTTAAGATGGGTCTGTGGTAGCTGGAATATGTTATAAAATTTGTGCCCTTTAGAGTATCAACAATTCGTGCAAACACCATATCTGTACGAGATTTTGTTCTAGTAGTACTACATTCAGGATATGACATCAACATTAAGCCAAACGTTTCCTCCTTAAATGTGACAAAGCTTTGATTTTCCTCCTTCTTTAAATCAATGTTAAAATCTCCTGCCGATATTATGGGTCCTTATTTACTGATCATTTTACATATAGGTTACATTACCCTTACACTTACCATTCCTGAGGAATGAACGTTTAAAGGTGACTAGGCGCTGGATCTTACACATCTTCGTAACTTAACGCTGTTTTTGCCGAATGGCCCTTCCGTATAGACGTATTTACGTCAAAAGAAGACAAGCCTAATTATCTTACACGAGTTCACAAATGCAGATGAAAACATTAAATGTGATGAACGACAATAATAATAAATAGGAATCCCTTACCTCAAACTTTGTTCAATTGTAAGAGACCACGATGTCCACCCGCAATGACCAATTTAACCAAAACTAAAATGGAGAGAGTGGAGGGCAGTATCACAGATTTTTTAATATAAGATAAGTATTTGTAATATTGTAAAACGTTTTTACCAGCACAAAATTATCTAGTCTACGAAACATTTCTTCTACAAGCAATTCACAGCTCAGCTCTTTCCGCAAAAACGAAAGCGGATTGTTGACGGCAGTAATGGAAAAAAACAATTCCGAATAAACAGATGACGTAACAATTAGTTTCTTAGGCAAAGGAGTAGATTGCAGTACGGTTTATTCAGGAAATTATACAGCATGCATGCTCAGCCAATATTGTTGCAGGCGTGTTAGAAATTCGAATCCTTTTTCTTGCATTGTTATGCACGCAGGATTTCATATAAAAGCTGATCATTGTCGGTCAATATTTACACATTGTTGGTATGGATCTTACACATCTTCGTAACTAACGCTGTTTTTGCCGAATGACCCTTCCCTACAGACATATTTACGTCAAAACATACATATTTACATTTGATGATGGCTGTCTTCCAAGTTAAAGGGCAGTGTAGACTGGTAGAAGTTTGCCAACTCATTGCCCCGATGATGGAGATAGCAAGGACTTCTAAAATGTTGGTAAACCTCTGCCAGACTGCATGGTGTTACAACCCAGAAGACAGCCATCTTCAGAATCATTGTCGTGAAAACCTCAAATCCTACTTTAGTGCTTTAGCGTGGTTGCATGCCATCAGGAGCACTGGGCTATGGACGTAAAGCTACCTGCATTCTTAAGCGGCCCATCGACGTACGAGTCTGACTTGTGAGTCTGGCTCGCCGAGCTTGACTCGAGAGCCGGGCTAGGATATATTTCACCACACATGCATAGCAGACTCGGCTCGTGACACCCCACCCACAAACGAGTTTGGCTCAATGGAACCCGAGCCGAGCCGGTCTAGTACGTGGATGGGCCGCTTTAGACTGATATTAGATGACAGTATCACATACCTGACACTTTTAACCCACATCAATTCATGAACAGTAACAAGAAATACATAAGCAGTAACAATGTTTAACGTGTCTTTTTATCTATCGTTAAAGTTACTTATTCTTTTCTTGCTGTTGTAAAGTTAGTAAGGTCATCTTCTTTTAGTTTTAGTTCATATTCATTTATAACTAAATTCCATGTTTTGTAACATCTTTAAAATATGGTAATAACAACATATAATACCTGTTTTATTGATCAGAACTGGGAATTTTGGCAGTATAATTAATTTACAAATTTTATATAGTTCTCATAAAAAAGTGGTTGTTTTCCTAAGCTATAATCTTTATTAGTTCTTTTTCTTGAGGTAGGAACTGAGTTTTTACATACATTTAGATGAGATTTACGCTTCAAATTATTCATAGAATTTTCTGTGTTTCATCGTATTTATTTTTTAAAATCACATTGTGTTAACAATGATTCAACTCTTTAAGTGTGTTCTTCCCGTCAATTACATAACTTGGAACATTTAAACTCTATAATGAGGAACTATTTCTACTGGACAATTCAATAAAATGTTAGTTGATAATAATTGTTCACTTTTGTTAATTTTATTTCATGTTTAAATTTCAATTAACAATACAAATATTTGATATCGCTGTTATTAATTATGTTTTTTACAATTTCAATATATGGGCCTATTATCTCATACATTAAATTTCATTGAATCATCCAGTATTTGTATTCTCAGAACAGTCATCATATCAATAGCAATTAAATCCATGCTTCGTTACCTTCATAATTAGACATACACTTCCTTAAATAAATATAATTATTGAAACTTGGTATTTAATAATAATTACTTGAGTTTGAAAAAAATGTATATATATATATATATATATGTAAAATACTGCAAGTATTTTCAAATTTGATTAATTCCAATAAGAAGAATCACGTTTTATAATTTATAAAATAAAATAATCTTATTAGCTTCGACATATAACTTCTACAAACATATATTTTCATTTATTACCGCTGGATACTAGAAGACTGAAGTTTAAATTAAATAAATTTGTTATTTTGGATTTTCCAAAATTTAAAGAAAACGATAAATTATTCAAGTAAAACTCTTTGCTTTTTCTCCATAAATAAAGCAACAATTTATGAACAAACATTTTTTTAATATGTAATGTAAAACAGTTTTTTTCATTTTTCATGATATTGTACACTTATGGGAAAATTTCTTTTTATCAAGAAACAGTTTAATTTATATGAGTGACATGTTTCAATAGCTTAATAGTCCTCTTTTGAAAGAAAAAAAAGGTTGATTCACACTTTCGTAAATTCGTATTTTATATGAATACTTTACAGAGTAACGAGAAAGTTTCTTGAAATAACTCAAAATAAATTAATTGAAATGTGTCTTTTAATTTCACTTTGATGTTATAAAATGATGTAAAGTACATCAAATTAAATTTGACTTTACTGATAGCATGCAATGTTCATCTGAACAACACAATAAAGAAAATATCTATTGCTAATTCGATAATAAACTGTGCAAATGGTTTGTAAGAATTTACAAACACAATTTTAATCTGAAATATTATTATCTAGGGCAGTGGTCCCCAACGCGGTGCATATACCTTTCGGAAAGTGTATTTACTACTGGCAGAGTTATCTACGGTGGAAACAGGTAGCCCTGTTACCACTGTTGTTGGCAGAGCCACCTACCGGCTGAGAGTTTGCATTACCATCATCTCATCCAGCGTCAAAAAGATTCTGTTGTACACAAAGTTATACATGAATTCCATAACCAAACTGAAACCATAATTTAAATATTTTGTTACATATTTTTCTTATGGTTACAAACACACAAATATCGATCAAATTGATGTAATTATTCCAATTTCGGAGCAATTTAATATTTAATAATTTTTTTTAAAAAATGGCAAATTTTGAGTTTGACTGTGAACATTTGAGAACTGATATTTTCTTTATATTCTAATTGCTTTACATCCTAAAATTCCACATAATTTTCAATAATTTAACGCATAATTCTGTAATTTCTTTTTAATTGTGAACTTCAAATGTCTCACTGTGTAATTGGTGTCAAACATTTTCATCTCAGTTTCAGTATTCAAAACGTTTCTATTCACGTAGAGAAAGTGTTCATATTAACCTAAATGGAATACAATTTGATTTTGTCTACTTGAAATACTACCGCAAAACGAATTGTAAGATTTAAAAAATACATGCTTCAAAATAATTACAATCCGTCAATGTTCGTAAACTATATTTGTTGTCCTATTAGTAAATTATTTCAAGTTTCATCCTATAATATTTCACAGCCTTTAGGGTGGCTAATAAATCCTTTGAAAGTGTTACAAAGTTCAAATATTTGGGGACAACAATAACAAATCAAAATGAAACTCATGAGGAAGTTAGGAGGAGACTAAATTCCGGAAATGCTTGCTACTTCTCAGTTCGAAATATTTTGTCTTCCCGTCTGATTTCTAAGAACCTGAAAATTAAAGTATAACAAAACAATAATTTTGCTTGTTGTTTTGTATGGGTGTGAAACATGGTCTCTCACTCAGAGGGAGGAACACAGATTGCAGGTTTTTGAGAATAGGGTGTTGAGGAGGATATTTGGGCATATGACAGAAGACGATGGGGTCTGGAGAAAACTACATAAAGACGAACTTGAAAATCTGTACTCCTCCCCCAGTATTTTCATGGTGATTAAGTCGAGAAGAATGAGATGGGCGGGACATGTAGCGCGCATGGATGGGACAAGGCGTATGCACCTGGTATTGGTCGGGAAGCCTGAAATGAAGAGACTACTGGGGAGACCTAGACGTAGATGGGAGGATAATATCAAGCAGGATCTATGGGGGATAGGAGTTGAAGGAAACTGGATTTTATTGGCCCAGGACAGGGTCTGGTGGAGGGCTTTGGTTAATTCGGTGATGAACCTTCTGGTTCGGTAAGCCAGGTAGTTAGTTAGTTAATATTTCACAGCCTACAAAGTAGATGAAATCAGTAGAATGGGAAAATGTCTCACAGCTGTCAAAGAATGTCAATGGGTTAAGAAACATCGCGATTAATTCATATTCGTAATAGCTACTGTCTGTTTGGAACTGAATTGTTTATAAGTGAGCAAACTGCCAAACTAAGCACGACTTGAGATTCTCATAGTGGCGAGTATGAATATTCCTGTCTCCTGGATCGTAACATCGTGCAGTCTGGTTGAAGCTTAACTATGTTTAAGAGGTTCCTGCTTTCTCCACCATCAGGAAAATTACATTCATCACCCTGATGATGGAGGCAACAAGCACCTCTGAAACATAGTTCAACTTCTACCAGATTAAATGGTGTTATAGTTCAGAAGACGTCTTAAAGCTGTCAAAATGTTGGACGTGGATGACTTCCTCATGGTCCAGCCCCCCCCCCACTTCTGATATCTCTGAAACTACAGGAATTGATGAAGTGCTTACAATTTAAAAAAATCATTTAAAAATTGAAACTGATCATCAGCTGAATGGCATAGAGTTAATATATGAAATTTTAAAAGTTACTACTGCTTGAATTTTATAGACGCGTAGTGCTGTAAAGAAAGAACACTTTACAGAGTAATCAAACGATATGTATTTTGCAAATAAAAAATGATTTCAAACAATAAAATTCTGAATTTCGAGATCTTAACTTCTATTACGCCTGAGTATTTTTATTGTATAATAATCTAGTAATTATCGGGGCTATATTAATTTTGAGTCATAAAACATATTTTTGGAATTCAAAATAAATTAGTTTGCTTCCATACCATTCCAAGTACCAGTTCTTAACACCTGCTTGTCACATGCACTTGCAGTGTGTGACGGAGATGATCTCCTTCGTCTGACGATCCTTCGTGGTGTAGCGATGGACTTTGAAATGCGATGGCGTGCATGATGACTGCTTAGCATAAAGCCCTGTTAGGCATTTACTGGGGTCTGTCTGGTCCCTAAGCAGACATTTTCTCGTCTGTCCGCTGGAACATGACCCCGTACACTGGCCAACATCAACTTCCTGTTAACAATATAGGCCTTTCATTTGACACGTATGAACCTTAATATATAGAAAAGTTTCTCCCGCTACGTGCCATACATATGCATATTAGGCAACTTCTCCGTCATGTCTGCTAAGCGGGTAAGCATATACCAGATTTATTCAGGCGGTTCTAAGCTTGAAAATAATGTTCATGTCTATTGGCCAGCTAAAATAATCGAGAGATTTAATTTAAAACAGGGACCTGACTAAAGGGTTCAATATTTATGTTTTATAAAAACAAAATGAATGAAATACTAAATAAAGGCGTCAGCCAAGTGATTTAAAAGTTAAGTAATTGGATGTTATAACATATATCGACATATATATATAAATATAGAACAAACTCGTTCCTTGAAAGGGGCAAGGTTGATCTGTTTAAAAATGGCGTAGTCGCGTGGGAATAATATGAATATGGTACATCTTCTAAAGAAATTATTGTGAGTTCAAGAAAGATACAAGAACTTTCTGCCTTAAAAGACAAAGTTACTGTCCTAGCAGTTTAGTGGATGGTTTGAAGAAACCCACGAAGGTCCCGTTAAAGTGGCTTGCCTGTCAGCTAATATTCGAACAGGGTGTTTCCTGAATACGAATCAGGAACGCCTGGTCCACAAGTGTTTAAGGAGAAGCAATCCAAAGTTCTATCGCGATCCGAAAGCCCAGCTTCTTAAATGACTTGCCTTGATGGCAGGGGCGGACCCCGTGCCGTTGTCCGGAACGTCCGTGTAGTCGTACACCGTCTCGAGGGAGCTCATCCGGTAGCAGTCTCCAGCGCACGAGCACTCCTCAGTCACGGAGTGACACTGGACGCCGTTGGGTCCCGGAATGCTCACAGTTTTGTTTCTCACAGGCCTACAGCCTGACTCTGTACAACAAACAACACCCAACTTACTTTAGTTCTTCACTTTGTTAAAAATTTAACCCTTACTTCATTTGTAATGACACTCTATAAACCGTTTAAGGTAAAATATTGGATTCAGTCCGTTTCAATACAAGGAAATAAAAGAAAATTAAAATAGAGAGACAGATGTACAAGTGAATATGGCTTCTGTCTTGTGGGTGCAGTGCAGTCTGATAGTATAACGACGTTTAGAAGTGCTTTTTGTCTCCATAACGAGGGCGATGAAAGGTCGGCAAATTTCTTCAGGACTATGCGACCCAACAACCCAGAAGACATGCATCTTTATATTCGCGGCAGTGATAACTTGAAATCTGAGTCGAATAGACAGATGCTACGGTGAGTGAACAGTTGGCTAGACAGACTAAGAGAGAAAATGAGAGAGAGAGAATTATTGGTCCTGAAAGCTTGTCGTGTCTTCATAAAAGCGGACCTTCAGAAATAACCCTCTGTCCGATTGAGTCTAATACTTAGAAAATGATATCCATCGTGTCGGTCCAACATTTGTGTAGAAATGCAATGTTGTGGGGTTAACCTGAGTCACAGCCCCCTGAGCAGACTCCCACATCGAGGTGCGTCTCGTAGGGAGTGCCTGGGTACAGCTGCAAGGTGTGGGGTTGTCTGTAGCAGCGCCCTGATTTGTGTCTGCAGACACACTCCTCCACCACGGACAGCTCCTGAATCCCACTCAGCGTGCTGACCCTCTGAATGCGCGACCTGAAGGGCAGGCATGAAGATTCCCTAGGACACGGCTGCAAAAAAACAACAACACAGAACTTGCTTCTTACGTGTCATGCACGAGATATCTAAATCTGTGTAGAAATCCTTTGTTAACAGTCAATCATTTAGTTAAAAAAATTCCCGCCTTTTATGGAATCAGAAGGTTCAGTACCGTGTTAACAAAAGCGCCATCTGTCTTCCATATCCTGAGGTAAATTAATCCAGTCACCACATTTCTTTCAGATAAATTTTAATATTTCCCTCTCATGCATGTCTCAGCCCGTTCAGGTTTTCAGACTAAAATTTATATAAATTTCTCACCTCTCTCATGCATGATGGGATGGATGCCTCACGCATTTTATAATTTTTCATTTGATATTCGTAATAATATTAGAAGAACGTTGCGAATTATGAAGCTTGTCACATGCACAGAGAAGTATTTGAGTTTGTCTTTGTATTATATCCATGATATGTGTGATTTTTACATGCTTATTCATTTTGTTTTGCATATATACTGATGAAGCAACCATCTTTAGACATTGGTAGTATAAGTAAGTAAAGTCCCTCGACTCTGGAAGTTTGCATTTTTCGGGGTAGGAAATTATAAAGTGCAAAGGATGGCCAGTAATTACATGATGCTCATACCAAGTTTGATATAAATCCGTTTTAATTGGCTCTAAGTTGTTAGTGGAGACAAACACTGGCGTGATGGCACAATAAGCTTAACTGATCTTATAGATTGAAGAAATTTTAGGTAAAATTTAAACATTGGTTACTGGGCTCATTGTGACATTGCTACAATCAATACCCGCGCTCTTGAGAAGTCCATTCAGAAATCTGTTCCGAATACATAATGACACTATAAAACCAGACATTCCTTTGTTTTTACATTAACAACGTTACACAGTCCACTCACGTCTCTTTCTCCGAGACCGTTTCAAAGGATAATTTTTTTTAACTCTGTCTGAACAGATCAATGGCCCTAATACGATTTCAGATTGAATTAATTTTAAATATAAAAAAGTGTGTTGGAGTTAAAAATGCACATTAATTTTATATCAAAGAATAGGTTTACACAGTGTGTTTAGTATTTCAAGTGTTCTTTTGAATTTGACAACGAGAATAAGTTTTTGTGAGAAGAATTTTTAATACTCTGGAAGGATTCTACCCAGTCCACAGAGACACTCACAACAGGATAAATTGTGGATGTAAAAAAATTCTGACATAAAAGACAGCGACATATCTGTTATGTATTTCCCAGGACCTAACTGATGAAATAAAACATTAGAAACTTCAAAGGTTTTCCGTTAGTTAACTATGCGAAGTGTTCAGTTCGATTGTCGCGATGAACTATAAAAGGCAAGAAACACAAGAAAATAACTGCTTTGATTTAAACAGTGGTCTGTATTATTCTTGTCCTTAGGTTTTCGAGGCTGGATTTCAACGTACAATTTCGACTTTCTGGGACCAGCTCTTTGAATGTTGAAAATTATCCAACGTTTCGGCAAACATTAAAGTTTTCATCTTCACCCTGAAGACGCGGTTCATCTCGTAAAGCCGAAGTTTTAAGGAAATGTCTGGCTTCATAGATATATTGTTCATCTCGTAAAGCCGAAGTTTTAAGAAAGTGTCTGGCTTCATAGACATATCGTAAGGCCTAAATGAAACCAGAGATATTTTAATTCTTATGACTTATTAAACATATTTCTTTATTATTGTTTTCAATAAACCTGACCGAGGTATACAGACTGATAACATTTACATTTCTAAATCCTATAAATGTTTGAGTTGTGGGTCGTAAAGCGGTGTGGACTTTGAGGATGTATGTTCTCCCAGAAGGCTGGTACCTACTCACAAGTTTACATAAAATGAATGAAATTATCGAATTCAGTAGAGTTTAATAAGTGACAGAATTTAAGAAAGCATACGAATGATGCCAAATAATTTTATATAACCGTTTTAAATTTGAGGAAGCATAAAGCTGTACTTTTAACTCACTCGCTAAATAATGGCCAAAGTTAAACAAGCTTTGGATAAAATTCACAAGTTCATTAGCCTTTTTCCTTACACTACTGAAAACACCCTAATTTATAAAGACGAATTCCTTAATGGAACCCGCAGAGAAGGTAGTAATAGTTTGCAAAATACTTAACATCCCCTATCTTAATACCAATCTTCATCGCACTATTACTTCTGACGATCGAGTCATGTTGGTATTAAAGTATTTTACGTTGTCATTAAAATGGTATTATTTTTGTACTCACTTCCTGAGTTATGTTCTCTACACAGAAGAATGTGTCAATCTAACACCAGGTGGAAATGCCACTAATTCAGGAAATTCTGTCATATTGATACAACAGTCACATCTTATGTGGAGTAAGTGCCATAGCTTTATTAACGAACTAGTTTTAATGGTTTTGGCCTAACCATTACCTTTTGTGGGCAGGACATTCTACCAGTAAGGTTTAGATAACGTGCGGATATTAATCGTCGTTTCTTTAAAGCCGCTAATTGCAACAACTGAATCTGCTTTAAACCAACCATTTGATCTCTAGAAGTTATAAACGTGTTTCCTTCCTATCTTCTCCATTTACATGCAATTACGTGCAAGTTTTCACGCATAAAAAATAAAATTCTGCGAGTTTTTTCCACAATAACGAAAATATAAAAGTATTTCTAATGGAATGTCAACTTGTAGTTTCTTTTTATTTGCCATTGTTCATTCCGAATAAAACCCAAAAGAAATCGAGCTTGAGGTGGAATGGAAGTATGGGTGAATTCCTCAAAGTCCATCATTCAGCAAGTCGGCAATGACTACGCAGAAGACAGACACAGCACGAAGCATACTGACAGCGGGGAAGGAAATTTATCAGGGTTTTTCCTCATCCTTACATATACATGTGCACCAACAGTTGCGTGTTTGGTCACCCAGTCAACATGTAACCTTAATAGCCAATCACAAGTGAGTTCAACAGGGCGGGACTAACATATAGACGTTTCTCCGAGCCAGCGAATAACAAAATGATGTACAAGAAAAACATTTTACTGTAAATACATGAAGGTGGAAGAGACTGTGGCTAACGTTTCATGGTCTTAATCCATGAGTAAATTGTACATCGGTTTCCTCTTTGCCTCTACCGATTAATATAATTCGTATTATATATGCCTACAGCGCACGCTTTGGACAAAACACAAAGTTTAACAGCAGAATGTGTCACAGATGAAATTTAAAATTATGAGGGAAGTTAATATATATCATATTCCGACTGAACACAACACTCTACAACAGAAATTACGTATGATTAGCAAAATGTGCAAATTATTAGCAGCATTTCATGTGTGTACATTCAGTGAAATACACTTTAGTATTTGAAACCCATGATCTCAACAAAGATTTTTCTTTAATTTTGGGTTATTTAACAACTCTGTTTCAACGATAAAGACTTCATAGCGTCGAATGAGAAGTGAAGATTTTTACAAATGTTAAACAGATGTTGGATGTAGCCGATCGTAGCCTATTTCAAATAAATAAGAGAAACTTCGTTTTGATATCATACTGTCTGATAGAACACTTCGCCTCTCTTGAAAAAAATTCGGAAATATTTCGATCGTCACGTAAAACTTTCGCACCCAAAAGTACCCCATTTTGAAGCAATATAATTTACTCATTGTAAACGACACAGTTTATGAATACCATATTATAGTTACTGATGATTATTTTATTGAAAGTTAATTATTAACCTACACATTTTATTTAATTTAATAAAATAAATGTTGTGGTGTGTTCTAAAAAACAATGAATGGTTATTTGCTTAGTTCGAAGGCTAGTGATAATGACATAATCGTTTCTGGATACTAAGAGACGAGATAACAAACCATCGAAAAAGTAGTGAAATAGGCAACAGATGACAGTAATAAACACATCCAATTTTCGAAGTGAAACGCCCAGAACGTCAAGCAATGAAGGACGTTTCGGCGAGCTGATGAAATGCTGAGTCTCGTTTAAATATCGCTTGTTCAATATCGCTTCGAGCCACGTCTCACAGAAACATAGTTGTTCATCTTGTCTGCCCCTCGAGTTGGGTCACCAAGAGTCGTTTGCCCCTTCGCGTCATTGACACTTTATTAATAACGGTCATACATTTATAACATTAAACATTCTGGCCAAACAAATGCGATAAATGTACGTACTAAAATTAGGTGCTATTTTACAGATAACACTTCATATTGAATCACGTAAGCAATAATTTTGATGATTTATAAATTAACAATTTGTTGATAAAATCCTCGTCGCCTATCAGGCATGTTAAATGGTTAAAACTTCACAACTTTCACGTCAAAATGCGTCCTTCTTTTACAACGTGTTTTTAACAAGGAAACTGAAATTATTTTTCTAGATGGTAAGACCCAATACATCTGCAAATTCTGTACACATTATGAAGAGGAAATTTCACCATGTTAACAAGACTATACCGACTGAGGTTTGTACACCATGTAAAGGAAATTTTTCACGAAGTGCTTTAGTTTCACTCTGAAGATGGAGGTAACACGTTCTTTTGAAACGTTGATAACGACCTACAAGATCACACGGCGTCACAGCCCAGAGGAATAACAACGACATAAATATGCATAATAAATATATGTTTATTTGAAATATTTGCTTTCTGTTAATTCATATTTAATAATTAATAATTTCTGATTCAGTTACAACGAGGTTTGTAATCTGATTCGCTGTGTGGCAATAAATTTATACCTACAGTAAATTAGCACCGGAGCAAATGTGGTACGAAAAGTTACAATGATGACACGTGGAAGGTATTTATACTCCTAACTGGACTACTCCTTCCCATTCTTGTTTGCTCGTAAATGAAAGAACTCACGGGACTGAACAAGACACTACAGCACTCTTTACAGTTACTGTCATTTACAACTTTTAATGTAAAGTTTGTCTATGAATAATTAACTCTGTTATTTTACTGCATAATAAAGCATTCTAAACCCTTAAAAAGAGCCAAATTTGGAGAACAGTGCG